AACCAGATTTTCTGACTGGCTTTCCAGATAAACAGATTCCACCTTTCCGAACACAGTTCTTATCACAAAAGAAGGGAGATATGTGAACGTTATAATAATGTTGTATTGTATTCTCAAACTTTTGCAGAACTATCTTGCTCCAACCCTGGTTCTGTGGCAAACGGAGCTGTGGTGGCAAGCCCAGTTCCACGCCAGTTCTCTGTCGGCACGGTGCTGTCAATTCGTTGTTTCACCGGATTCCAAGTCAGTGGAGCCAACAACGTCACATGTCTACCCACCGGCCGATACTCGTCAAATTTACCTCGCTGTGTTTGTAAGTCTGCCATGGGTGAATGAAGATAAGAAGCTGAGGACATTTCTGATGGGTTAGGTAGCTTTTGCTATTTCTAGGGCTCTTTGAGAAATGTGCATTTCACAATTTGTCTGCCGCTGATAGAATGAAGTCAGCCTGACAGCTGTATACTGCCTCTGCACGCTGACTTGAGCATGGAACAACCACTATGATATTCCCTGGAGAAAACCAGGCCGTGTTGAAGTGTGTGCGTACCAACGAAACCTGCGGTGTGATGTATTGTATCCCTGGCCACCCCCAGTACCCAACAGCTCCGAAACATAAGAGGGACAATTGGTACCCAGACCACTGGCTAGGGTTCGCCTCACTTGAATTATGATTGTCCATGCATGTTTGGCTGATGCCGAGCTCATTTGTCACTGGATGAGATCCATGCTGGTAGGTTTGTTTCCGCTAAAGAAAACAGTGTTTTTGAAAAGCAGGGGCTAGGCAATACCTCGGGCAATGAGATGTGTATCTAATCTACTGCTTTATCAATTTATGGAATCGCGTGTCGCTCCCTACGTGGGACCTCATGCTTTTTCCTGTGTTGACTTGAATCTCAGCTCACATTGCCTAAGCATCGCTGAAGTCGTACCAACCTCTTTTTTATCAATTTGTGTTCATTGCAATTGACAGTGGTGACTTGCCGTGACCCCGGTATGCCTACGAATGGACAGCGATCAGGAGGTGACTTCGGGGTGGGCAGGATAGTCCAGTATCGCTGTGATGCTGGCTACAACTTAGAAGGTCCTCCTGTCCGTGTTTGCCAGGCTGATGGACAGTGGTCAGGATCGCTGCCAACTTGTTCGAGTAAGTGCTTTATCCTGCATTGTGTTGCCTCTCAGTTTATTAACGATACTCGTGTCTCTTTCTATGCCACACGGAGAGAATATTCCATGGCACCAATGTTTATAGTATGGCATCTGTAACAGCCAATTTTTTGTAACGACATCTGAAGCAGCCACACTTGTGGCAGGCCATATGAAGACAAAAGAATAATCGGACTGTGGCAGAGTGCTGGCAAATGAGATCTATCCTGCAGTGTTTTATCACAGCCTACGATTAGAATTCCAATATCCACCGCGGGTGAATAGTGTGAATTTCAATGAATGTTTGAATAATAATGGTGGTAAAGACACGCCTGGCCAAATGACAGTAAATGTGTGTAGCTAGCCCTTTAGAACTGGTCTTGTCAACTGACGTCTGCATATGGTTCAGTGAATACACTACACAGGCATCCCAGTGACAGCTAGTTGCATTTACGATGCTTTCTTCATTGCCAAAACATGGTTACTACCGTACTGGCAATATAATTATGTTGCCGCGTAACGCGTAACGCAGGGGGGTGCGGCGTAACGCGCGACCAGGCTAGTGCGACAAATTTTCGTTGCGTTCGTAACGCGCGTCCGGCGGGGTGCGGCGATCTTTTCATTGCAGTTTGCAAAAAATGATGCGGCAATAGCAAAAAAATGATGCGGCAATAGCAAAAAAGTGATGCGGCAATAGCAAAAAAAGGACTGCGGCAATATAGAAACCTGTGTAACGGCTCCTGTGCGACTTTGCATGTAACGCCCTGCGTGCGGTAAACATGTGCCAATGTAACGCTTCATGGCCTCACTGCGACCATATATATTGCCAGTACGGTAGTAGTCACCGTTGACTGAAAGTGATCCGAATATACCTAGCCAGTCGAATTGGTTGCTATGACTCTGTGTGGTGACCAGTGAAAGCTTTTACAATGTGTCTTCATGAAACGCACATGGCAGTGGTGTCAGCGATAATGATCTTGTATTATGGCGGCAGCGAAAATGCCCTGCATGTGGTTTACATCTGGTCCAGCATGACCGTTCCATGGATTATTGTGTGTTGTTTTTGTATCCTTTCACAGGGCCCAGTTGTTTGCCGCCAAGTAGAATTGAGAATGGTCAGAGAATCGTGTCGCCCGACAATGGACTGTATTCAGTCGGTACCACAGTGACGTATAGTTGTGTGGCAGGCTACTCATTACTGGGTACTAATGTACTGCGATGCCTACCCAATGGACAGTACTCTGAGCCAGCTCCAACATGTAGAGGTATATATGATGTTCAGCTTCTGTTCACACTGTTATGTACTCTCAACTACATTTGCCTATGTACACGCAATCTGCAGGCACGGTATCCGTACCGCTTGGCTGTATGCATGAACACCAGTAAGATGGTTGCTGTGTGTGTGTGTGTGTGTGCTTTTGTGTGTGTTTTGTGTGTCTGTGTGTGCGTATGTGCCTGGATGTGTGCATGTGTGTCTGTATGTGTGTGTGTGGGGGGGGGGAGGGAGCTATGCCTCCAAATCTACCTTATGATTATGTCAACCAGCAGTTAAGTTGTCCATGTGTATTGCCTGTCTGGTCACCTTGTTATCTGCGCTAAGCCTCCCATTTCCTGGTGATACTCGGTACAACTACCTAGTGACTAGGAGAAAGCAATGCCTTATAGTTCCCCTAGAACAACACTGAGAGCATGGAATAACTTAATGACGGTCTGCGGCTCTGCTGTGTTGTGTGTATCCTGATCATGCTGTCAATAACAGTATCCAGCTGCAGTGATCCAGGAACACCAGCAAATGCAATCCGAGAAGGAGATGAGTTCACTGTCAGCAGTGTTGTTCGCTTCACGTGTAGACCCGGATACACTCTGAGAGGAACAGAGTTCCGTGTGTGCCAAGAGGATGGTTCATGGACCGGGACACCTCCAGAATGCACAGGTAAGTCATGTAGTCAATATATGCGGCATGCCGTAAGCAATGTGCATGGTTCGAATGCGTTTCCATTGTCCGGCCATTAAATGGCTGATGTTCTAGATGCTACCATAGAGCAAATAGTTTAGCAGACCATGCGAGCAAAGTCATTTTATGGGAAACTTGCTTTGATTGGATTTGTGATGCATGCAAGGAGCACTTCTGAGGACAGCATTCAAGTGTGCGTGGCACATGTGTAGAAAATGAAGGTATGATAACTGAAGAATGCCAGACAATAAGAGTGGCTTGTTTGTGCTTCTTATGATTTTCGATGCGAACGTCTGTGAAATGCAGTGAGTAGCTGTGGAAACCCTGGACAACCTGAGAACGGCATTCGTTTTGGTAGCACCTTCACGGTGGGAGCGGCCGTTTTGTTCACCTGTAATGATGGCTATCGGCTAGTGGGTGATCCCAGACTTACGTGCCAGCCGAACGGCCAGTGGAATAGTGCTAGACCCGTTTGCACAGGTATGTCCATCGCCCGTGTTTCCACTGCATTTGAATACTGTACAGTAGCATCAGGGCAACATCTGATCATTGAGAGCTCTTCACGGTGTACACCTGGATATGCCAGCATGCCATTTGTATGTTATGCTACCCATCGATTGTCACCTCATCATCCACTGAACCAGGATTGTTTCTTGGTCACATTCACCCAGTGGACACAGCTCTGCTTCTGGAAACCCAAGTTGCTCTCCTTGTCACAGTGTATGGTTGTTTGTGATATGTCTGTTGCTAACATCACATCATTGGGCACACAAGACGCATATGATATAGCACAAGCTAAGTGTCTGTTGATAGCTATGATCCTATTCAAAACTCGATCGAGTACTGGAGAACGGGTATTTTTAGCGACTACTAATTTTCGCGTTTTCCCATTGTCAACCGGTTAGCGATGTTTTATTTTAGCGATTTGCAGCGATTTTACTCACGGACCACCAGTCCACTACTATGTCTCAACGGATTAGCAACTTGAAACTTTAGCGAAAATTAATCGATCGCTAAATTCGCTAGAGTTTTTACGTCGCTAAAATTACCCGTTCTACAGTAACTGTTTCTCTCACTTGTTGTTTACAGTAAACCAATGTACAGACCCAGGCATGGTGCCGCAGAGCACCCGCACCGTTTCAGATCGGCGATTCATAACGGGAACGGTCATCACATACACCTGCTCGTCTGGTTACACCTTGGCCAGTGGATCATTGCGCCTGACCTGTCAGTCAACAGGACAATATGACAACAGACCTCCAGTCTGTGATGGTGAGTTTAGTACATAATAGTATTGTCGATCAGCAGTACGATGTGTAGTGTTGTCTACCAGTTATAGAATGAGTGCTGTCAATTTCTGTGTAACCGGTGCAGTCGTGATGATCGTATTAGACGGCAGTAGCACCATTGCTTGACTGATTGTATACGAAGGGTCAGTTGGTCATGTAGCAGATCACATTCAGCGGTCCTGACATGGCCACCACACGTAGTGTCACAATTTGCGTGTGCATGGCTTGGTGTGTTTACATGGCTGGCTTGCTTTCCCTCTGTCCCATTATCAGTTCTGTCATGCGCTGACCCTGGCCAGCCGGACAATGGTGAGCGCTATGGTGATAGTTTCCGCGTGGGAGCCACCGTAGCGTACGGCTGTAATGCCGGCTATAACCTGGTTGGTGGGCTGACACAGCAATGCCAGCCTGATGGACAATGGTCTGAAACAAGACCCACATGCCAAGGTAAGCAGCAACTTACAGTGGTAATAGCTGACATGTTTTGGTTGTGCTCCAGTGCCGCAGCACTACAAGATGCTGCAAATGATGGCCAGAATTAGTGCCATGATATCCAGTAAAAACTAAAAACTAGTAAAAATGATGTGTGACGATGACTGGTTGCAGCGATAGTAGGTATGAACATTTCTACACCAAGATACCTGAACTACTGCTGCGTTTGCATGACACGAGTACACGGCTAGTACATCAGACTATTGTATGATTGGATGCAACATCATCCACACAAGTGCAGATCAGCAGAGGACAGTGCTGATACAGTCATACTAGTGGGCCAGCAAGGATGGACCACATCCTTTGACCACTATTCTTATGCAAGTAACAGGCCCGGAATGGTCGTTAGGATTGTTTATTGATGCAAGCACATTTTCTACAAGAATACCATCGTATTGCAAATCAAAGGAAAATGTATTCCTTCATGCACCGGGCACTGCACTAGGGTGCAGCACTGAGCAACACATGCGCAGCCAATGCTAAACTGCAGCATGGCTTTATCACTGTACATGCGGGCAGGGAAACGTGTGCTGTGCTTCAACACAAGCAAACCATGAAGAACAATGAAGCAAGCCGTTAGCAATTAAAGGCATGGGGAAGAACAGAGATCCTGCATGCTATGGGCCAAGTGTTAAAACTACAGCAATAAAATTAATGTATAAAATATTGCCAACGGCAAATAGACAACACATACACGTACTAAATCAGTACAGACTAACTAATTACAGAGAAATGCACCAGCACGGCCGGAGAAAAAGGTACATGGATATAATGTTTGTAAGGAGAAGAATCCGCTAATGTTTTATGTCTATGCTGAGATGAAGCACTAAACAGGCGCTGCATGCTATAATATTCGGAAATAAGTGAGATTTGCCAACTGAGCAGCAGAAAAATATAGATTCTGATTTCTTTTTGTGATTTGTGATTCATATACAAGTCACTGTAACACATTTCATGGATAATAGAATGACAGAACATGTTCATAAGTCGCGACATGCTGCAAACGCAGGGTGAACATTTTTTTGATCAAATCACTGATTTCTAGGGCATGACATTTTATCAGTAAATATCAGGAATATGGTGAGCAAAATACTAAAAATTCAGAATTCGAATGGTTCAGGTCAGTGACACTGCAGTACCAAGATTTCCTATTTGTAAAAAAAAGTATAAAACGTGTGTCTTTTGCTTTGTCGAATGAATGGAACAAGTGAAGAGGTTTCTAGATTATGCTGGTTTGTATTGCTCTGGGTTCTGCAACTTAGTTGCCTTGATTGAATCCCACACCCAGGCAGGAGTGACAGGCACTGCGTTCTCTGGCGATGTCTGAGCAAACAAAGGTCGACAAGAGAGATAACATTAGGAAGCCTGCATGGGGAACATAGGATCTTGTACTGTGGATGGGTAAATAGTAAAAAACCAAATGCAGCGCTGTTCATTGAAATCCGGCCCTGTGAGTCAGCTAGTACCGGACGCTGTGCACTGGACTGTGCACTGGACTGCGTATAGATGTCGGTACCTAGCTGATTCACTAGCCGGGATTTCACTGAGCACGGCTGTAGAAGATCAGTTGCAGAAGAGTACAAGTGTCACGCCACCATCTACACTATAGTGATAATGTACAATGCGCACTTACCGTCTCAACTTCGGTTATGAAATGTGTGGCATCAGCTGCTCCAGTTCCATTCACGACTTTGCCACCGTACCTGCACACAACCTGTCAAGGAAAAGTAGGCCTCCAGGAGGTGCAGGTTCAACACGTGTGGTGGCTGGCAGTGACTGCAACATGTGTGATGGTTGCAGCTACCCTATTATTCATACTGATTCGAACATCATATTACCGTAAAGTACCGCCAGAGCGCCCTGTCTCGCGAGAGCGCCCCACCTTGATTTTACAGCCTGAGAAAGGAAAATCGTATGGCAGAGTGCAACGAAGTTTGTACGATGTGAGAATCTTAGTGTACTAAGGTCACGCTTGGCAGGGTTTTGTGTGGAGCTTGTGTCCGCTCGAAGGTACGGATTTTCTGCAAAACGTGCAATATGTGTACAAGGTTCATGTCGTATGACCTACAGACAGCAGACCACCTCCACAATACGACCACGAAAGGATGAGATAGTGGGGCGCTCTGGCGGTACTTTACGGTAGTAGCAGTGCATGGCTTTAAAGAATTTTACAGTTTGTAAATTCGTCCAGTGCTAAAGGCGTAGTGTGAATGAGGAGGATACGCGACAATGTGTCGCTGGATCTCCTTGGCCGGAAGCAAGCTTGTGTGAACCTTGGCTGTCACGTCTGAGAAATAATCCGGCAGCGGCTTCTTGACAGACCAGTCTAGCGTTGGCGATGGATCCTGCTCCACAAAGCAACGAGAAGCACACAATTCCAATCATGCTCCTAAACACAGTTCCAGGCCTGTACCAATACCAGCCAGCAAGCAGTCATGGCAGAGCTAAAAAAAGATGCAGTAGCTGAAGAAATCAGACCAAACCAAGACTCACTGATGGATGGCGGAATCGGGCAAGGTGTTTCGCATTTGTCTGGTAGCACTTCTCGCCATACTGGCACATTGGCTTCTGTGAGTTAGATACGAACAGAGAACACATACACATACACGTACAACGGTACCACCAATGCAGGATATGAGAACAACAAGGTCAGAAACTTGAATGAGACCAACATCATTGTATGAAGTACAGTACTTGCCAAAGAAATCCAACCTCATGAATAAAGTAGCGCCGGGTGCAACGCAGCCCTAATACTACACATATTGCAGGTCTGTGCACTACGCAGCCCTAATACTACACATACTGCAGGTCTGTGCACTACGCAGCCCTAATACTACACATACTGCAGGTCTGTGCACTCGAACGTGGTGCTACTTTATTCATGAGGTTGGAATTCTCTGGCCAGAACTGTACAAATTAAGTGGTACATTAAACCCTTCGCTCTACTTTAAAAAGAACTTACCAAGCGTTTAGCAAACGTTTCATCTTCGCTGTCCTCATCATCCACCTCACGCTTTCTCTTTAAAGTTTTAGCCTCGGTGGCACTAGTACTGTCGCTAGCGTCCATTGGTGTGTCGGTCTTGATTGAAGCAGTCGAAGAAGACACCGCAATGGCCGCGGCACCAGATGTAGAAGACACCGCAACGGCCGCTGCACCAGATGTAGAAGACGCAGCAACTCCACCTGTTGCACCCCCGTTGAAGGTGAAGAAGGGAACATCCTCCCCCTGGTCTTCATCTTCATCTGCATCTTTCTCGCCGAGAAGCTTCTTGGTCAATGCCATGTCTGAACACCAGAAAGAGAGAAGACAAATTCAACACGGGTATTCATTGATATTTACATCAGTTTAAAATAATAAGTCCCGCAGGATGCTGTCAATGGACGTTATTCATACAGGACAGGTAGGTCAACATAAGCCACCAACAGTCACGCTACTATTGCATGATGTATGTGTAGACAATGACATGTGTGTGTATACATACCATTCTTGGAGCTGGAGACCTGAACAAGTTTCTGTAGACGCAAAAGAGGACACAAGCAACGAACAAGCATTGGTGTCATGGCTAGCTAGTCATGGCATTCCCAAATTAGAAGTCCAGGAAACTATAATAAAGATTAGAGTCAGTACTACAGATGGAACGGTAGTCAACGGGAAGAAAAAAAAAGATATTTGGGGACACACTTAAAGGAGTGATGGTTGGCAGCTCACCTTCAGCCGGTCAAGGTTAGTGGCGGTGTTCCAGTCCTTGTCATCACGGACGCGCGTGACACGTGGAAATCGAATAGAGATGCCTCCAGCAGTGTGGTGATGAGATGTACTGTATTCAGCACCAGTGATTTCCCACACTGGAGATGCCTACACACAAGCAGTATAGTGAGAGATTATACAAATGTAAGGCAACATGCTCATGGTCTTGTCACCTTTTCCTGCTGATGTCCTCCAGACGTTTTAGAAACGGTGCACATAGAACAGCATCAGCTGGCCGGCAGCAACACATGCGAAGAATGCAAGATTCAGTCAATGTGTACCTTCGGATCAGCGCTGACAAAGTCAGGAACGTGTTGGCTTTTCACATCCAGCCATGCCGGGACACGAGTAGAATCCTTATGAAGAAAAGATACACACGAAAACACACACACACACACACACACACACACACACTTTTAGTACATGTGGATAGTTCAGATCTTGCAACTTGTGGTCTATACACAACTAACGCTTCACAGTGCATGCGTAGAGATAGGAAGTGTTCACAGATAGTACGGTTGTCAATTGATCTCGGAAGAAACACAGTGGGGGCAACAGAGAGAATAGATAAAATACCTTGTGGATGGCAGTCATCTTGAGCTCCTTCTGCAGCTTGGCAATCTTGGCATCATCAAAGCCATTGCCAACCTTACATACCGTCTTCCACTTTGATGTTGCCGGATCCCAGCAACCCATCAGGAAAACAGACATTAGGCCACCTAGCAGTAAGCACCAACATTCCAGATAGACAGAAAATAATGGAAATCAGTTGAAAAATGTCCCCTTGCCTCCGTGGGTACAGGAATGAGCTCAAAGAGTTCTGCCAAATAAAAATTATGTGAAAGTCAAAGTGGGCTGAAAGTTAAGACAGACAGAAGATGAAAGTAGAACAAACCTTTGCTGCCAGTGCCGTAGTAAGCTCCAAGAACAACCAAGTCGGCAGTGTCAGCCATAGCTCCATCCGCCAGGTAATCCTTCTTGACCTGCAAAGACAATAGCGAAAGTTTCTCCGAGTTACTCACAATACTTCCTACTTCTTTCGGCACACTCCTAGAAGCACAACATACCGGCAGAACGAGAGAATGAGATTGACAGGGGTAGCTCTACGAATAGTTCTACGGCTTACCTTCAGCCAATGACGCTTGCCTGGCTCATAGACACCCTGCACATACACAACACATGACAAGAGACAAGCAGGAAGTACACGTGTACACTATTGTGAAAAGCATGAGAACGTGGGACAAACACAGCACAGTCATGTATTCATACTCGATACCTAATCTGGGGAAGGTATGTCACGACAGACGGGGAAAAAACATGGACAGGAACATAGCGACTGGCGTGGAATGTTACCTGTGTGTCTTTGAGAACCAGTCCTTCCAGGCCCTCATTGATGGCACGTGCAATGAGGTGAGATAGATCTCCTCTCTTCTTGACGAGGTGCATCTCAGAGAGTTGAATGTGATTCTTGATCTCCGTGACGTTCTTACTCAACAGCTGGCGGCGTTCCTGAAGAGTCCTTTAGACATAGCGGCCGCAGCGGGAAGCCGTGCATACATAATCATACATGCCCAGCCAGCATGGCTGCAAAAGCTGAAACAGCTCCGTATCTTCCACATTGTGAGCCTGAAATTTGGCCTGTGGTGCACTAGACGTACCACCATGTGTAGTATCATACTGTACTGATATGCAATGATATGATTTTACAGTACACGTACCAAGTATTGGGAAAAAAACGCAGCAGTCACCGGGACTTACTTGTTCACTAATGATTCACCGTTGAAGAATAGCAAGTCAAAGATGAAGATACAGACGCTCGCATTCTGGAAGTGTGTTTTCTGTGGAAACCCATTGAAACACCGGATCAGGAGGTTAAATAGAGACATGTACCTCTACCTACTCCATGAACAACCAAATCTGTCTTCTCACATACATAGTTACTACATGCTGAGAGTCAAAGCACATTGGTAGGCCTAGATTTCAAAAAGCAGACATATTCCTACTCCCTGAATCAAAGAGCGTACCTTGTGGGCACTAAGTGTGCCGAATGGCAGCGGCTTGCCAGTCTGGGTGTCAACCAACAGGACCTGGGACAAAGGATACACGGCAAAGAAATATCAGCCACCTCCGAACCAGGTACATGTAGAGCCAGCTCTAGCCACATAGCAGAATGCATACGTTACAATGTATCGTGCTTTTTACTGCTTTTACTAAGTATTGAGCGGCGTAATGGTACAGTGTTTGCAGTCATTCACTAACCTCTCCATCAAGGACCATGGAGTGACCATGTGGACATGCCTTGGGCACAAAGTCCTTCACATCAGCGACCTGCGAGAAGAGCAAAGCCCAACAGGACAGAAAACAAGCCTTACCCAAGCTGAACATAGCAATGGTGAGGATAGATCATTAGAACTCAACACAGTTAAAGAGGAAGTATGCTAGAATAAAAGTTGCATACCTTGTGTGGCATAACCTGCTTCAGACTGCGACTGTAGAACTCAAACTTGTCGGCACTCTTGTGCATCTAAAGTGGAAGCAGTAACAGGAAGAAAAATGGACAAAACAATTCCAGCACACTTCACATTTGTTGATCACCAGAATGAGCATGGTGAGTAACCCAGATCTCACAGACTACTACAGTATTCACACAGTCCATTAGCTTATTTCATGGCAGCTTTATCAATCTGCAAGCCTACCTGTACACGTTCTCCATCGTACTTGATCTCTGCGTACATTCCATGGGGGCATTTCTTCATGGCCATGTCTACTGAGCGACATGCCTCCGCCTAAGACAGCAACACGACAAAGAGCACACCAAGATTACCGGTACAAATAGCATCAACTTGCCTCGTAATGCTGAAATCTGATAGTTCACTTCGATGAAGGCTTTCCCCACACCCTCAACAAATACATACGAGGCAAGAGAACGATCCTCTGGTAGACCCTCTAATTATTTATCTCCAACTACAGAAGAGAATGGCAATAGGAGCAGCGAGAACCGGACTGAACTCACCAGCATCGGCTTGATGGGAGTCATCAGCTGAGTCTTAATGCTAAGTGCTTTCTTCATACCGGGCATTGCTGGTGTAGGCGAGCTGTCAGCTGCCAAACACACACACACACCAGAAATATTCATGGATGCGAAGAGTAAAGGCAACTTCAAAGTACTTCCTTGATATACTTGTGTGATTCTAAAACGCCAGCATATAGGAGCGATACAAACATCTCAAGCTTGCAAACTAGACCTCGCAGCATATCCAATTCACATCCGGTAACTCACCACTTCCTCCACCAGACGCGGCGGTCGGTGATGTCACTCCCGATTGGCGACCCAAACAGCGACGTACAACATCAGCCAGGTCTTGAGATGCCTGGAATGCAGCATAGGCGTTCTCATCGAGTGCACCCAATCTGCGTGCAAGAAGTCAAACAGAAACTCGTGTCTCCACGTCGCCTATACAAATAGATACGGACACGACATCTCGTGTTCATCACCACCTACAGATATTCCAGTACTATATACATGTACAAACTTCGAGTACTATCACCGGTGGAACTAGAATTTGTACAATACAAGAGAAAAGAAGCATTTGTGTCCAAACGGTCTATTAACTTGATAATAAAATGTTGCCCTTGCATTACAGTAGTGCGGTTGCTAGTCAGTCTTACATGCACTTGGCTCCAGCAAAGATTCGTAAGTCATGCTTGATGAGCCTGATGATGTACTTGAGATCATTAGCAGTGCATCTGTCAAAGTAGAGATTGGATAGAAACACACACACACACACACACATGCACACAGATTCAGTCTAACACGAGGTACAGGTCCAGAGTACGGGCATTGGAAATGAAACTACGAACTACACTGTGTTGAGTACTGGAAACAGGTGTTGCAAGCATTGGATCAGCAAAGAACTAGATCGCATTAACATCACTCGCAGCTTGAAACACAAATACCATTGCAATACTGTGGGTTGGAGATGGAATGCACAAGTGCAACGGCAAGTACCTTTTCGCGATGCGTGTCAGCACGACTTGTTGATCACGTTCCTTGGACACTTGCGTGAGATCATCAAGGAATCGGTCAACCTACACATCCACAATAGTGTGCATCAAGAAGTAAGATCTCCACGTGTAAATTTCAGAGAGGAAGAAGTATTGTGTGCAGACTTACCTCATGGAGTGACAGAGCACTGCTTGCTGCAGGAGGACAAACGTCACTCGATGCAAAAAAGCGACGAATAGTTTCGGAGACATCTCCGTCCTAAAGGGAAAGGCAAACATAAAACACAACAGGGCTGAATATTGTCTATCAGGTGATGCAAATAATTTGTAGGATCAAATTATCTTGCAACAGTGTATCGAGTACATGTACGCCCATTAGCAAGCCAAGACACCAAGTGATGTATGCGATTGGAACCATCCTCACCTGTTCCAAGTCTTCAGTCATGTCATCCAGGTCAGCTCCAAAGACCTGTGATACAACACGGCAAACTAGGTGTTCCAATGTGTAAAGGCTAAGCGTGTGTGCAGATGAACAAACACTACTTATCCATGCATGGCTTATCTATCTGACACGATAGTAGAGATCTAGTCGTAGACTCAGCACCAAGTCCAGCCCTTACTTGGCTAAAGACCTTGATCAAGCTGTTGTTCTTCAGGTGGTATACCCGCTTTGTCATATTCGGCAACAGTGTCTTGAAAAGCATGTAGTGGTCGCCGTGGAACTTCCCTGCACAATACAAATCAAGCAGACAATACAACATGGCATGACGTCTATGTAGGCAGCATAGACCTACTGCTATCAGCCAGGGACCCCCCCCCCCCCCCACACACACATACAAAAATTAAGGAAAATGATGTGTATACATCACAGTCATAGTGATGATCGTGTATGACTCAAAGACCGCAGGCAGAACACAACACAACACATGCGCGTCAGTGAACATTGTGATATGACGACGGTTACCTCTACATCATTACCGTTCTTGATGTAGTTTGAGATCAGCTTCGTCTTGGCTGTGTAGGATGGTTCTCCTTCCAGGTCTAGACACAAGCGGCGGAACTTGCGTAAGCTGTTGTCCCGTGCAGCAGCATCAGAAGAGGCAGATGAAGATGCCGCTGCTGCACCGGCTGTTGATGAGACAGCAGCTGAGCTAGCCGCCGAGGACCCGGGAGACTTGGTAGCGCCTGTCAGTGTGGTTTGAACTGCTGCCTTCTTACCGCCTGGTACCTTGGCACCTTTCTTGATCATAGACATCAGGCCTAGACAAGGAGCGAGTGCACATGTGTACAAACACCTAAATTTCGATGCACATTTGCCTAAATTTCCAACAAGATCAGACTAACGGCCAAGCCGATGTGATTGATACTTATCCTTCAAGTATGGAAGTTGATTCATTTTTTCTTCTTTGGCACTGCCGCTCACCTAATGAAAAACTTGATGGGTTGTCTCGAACAGCCCTACACCACTCGCTGCTTAGCAGTTGGAATACAACATGGCCAGTAGCGACTCAATGTGTGCGTAGTACAATGCTCGTAGGGTTCCCAGTAAAAAGGCAACGCCTGTTGGGACTCCCCTAGTAGAATAATAAAATCTACTACTACTACTACTACTACTCGTACCGACAGCAACGTACAGTACATCCGAACACTGTTTTGTTTTCTGCAGTTCTCTTACTGTCAATCATCTTCTGTAGTTCAGCTTGCTCAGCGCTGTTCAGCGCATCACTGCCATCCAGATCATCCAGACTCTCGATTTTCTTCGTCGTTGCCCTGGCTCTTGTCAGCGCATCAAACATGCACTTGGCATGGTACCATACCTATCCACAGAAAGAAAGAAAACATCAACATCATTTATCACAGCAATACTAATGAAATGCTCCAGACAGCCACAAAACTACTGCATGCTGGCCTGTACTGTGAAGGAAAAAAAACAATGAAGAAAGAAAAAAAGGAAAAAAGGAAAAAAAAAGAAGCACTGCAAGTAGTTTCATGATACAACACGTCAACAGTAAGAAGAGAAAAGAAGAAAGAAAAAAGGAAAAAGAAGCGTGTCATGATAATTGATATCTTGGTCGGGCTACTGTATGCCGTCTATTCACAGGCGCTATCCGACTACTGTTCCATGCGGCAGGTTTCGCCTGCTATGTTTCCATCCTGGGCCAGTAAAAAAATGCACTGCAAGTTTCATGATACAACAGTAAGAAGAGAAAAGAAGAAAGAAAAAGGAAAAAGAAGTGTGTCATGATATCTTGGTCGGGCTACTGTATGCCGTCTATTCACAGGCGCTATCCCACTACTGTTCCATGCGGCAGGTTTTGCCTGCTATATTTCCATCCTGGGCCAGTACCCTGCTCTTCAAAGACCTGGACACCACTGGATCACCAGTACTGCCCATATCCACACCGAACTTAGCGCGGACACCCGATCGACACAGGCCAACACACAGCAGGATTCCCGTCCTCAACCTTTCCAACACTCCCAACCTCGCCAGTCGCAGCGATTATAGGTGAACGCCACTTCACCCGGTGAGAATCTGTGGCGTCAAACGGGATTTTCACCCGATCCGGGCATTTCGGCTAACTCATGCTCAGCGGATACAACTCAATCATCATTATCAGGTAGAAAGAATGCAGTGAAAAACAAATCGAACAGTGCAGATATGGCGACAGACACTGTACTACAATCACACTTTCTAGCCAGAACCTTATCTCTCCAAGAAACAGAAAAGTCTACAATCAGTCCGCCTTACCTTCATTTCACCACCGTCATCGCTGAATGGATTAGTTGAGACCTTGCCAATTCTCAAAGCACTTTTATCAATCTTCTGTTTGCATCCTTTGCACGAACTCCGACCCGTGGTTGCATGTTCGACACAGTACTTGTTGTCTGCCATTTCTGCAAGAATTAGAAGACAAAATCTTCTACTAGTACTCTACTCTTTTCGATCCAACTGAAGTTTCAGATCGACATGGAAGTTTTTATAGCAACAACGAAGAGGAGAATCTCTTGGAATTGTTCAGAAACTCACTGCCAAAGTGTCGATGCCAGCAACACTTTGCTTGTGCAATGACCTCGTTCGCTGTTTATAAAACCAACTCCTCCCTTGATCAACTGGTTCTTGTTGTATTTCAAACACAACATACACTGCAAGTGCAACAAGTCGGCAACTCGTGGAGGCAGGTTGGTCGACGTCGTCATCTTCATCTTTGTCTTGCACACCGTGCATAGCAGCATGGGCGCGTGCCGCCCAACGCTCGCGATCGCCATGCATAATATTTCCTATGACAACTCAGATTGCTGACGTCATCACTTTCTGACAGATCTGCAGATCTGTGACATCATCTGTCATAGCATACGTCACTGCAGATTTGGTGAGATTCGAAAGCAGACGAATGAAATTTTTATCTACACTGTTCGTCGACGAGGAAGACGACCTGAACTAATCTTTCCACCAGGCTGACGTACTTGTGTACCAGGTAACAAGATTTGTTTTTTTGTGAGCTCACTGATCTGCTGAGTGGGAGCTTATGTCGTTGTAGTCAGAAAGTTCTCTGCAAAAGTTCTTCAATTAAATAATATTTCCCCACAATCTTTACTAGCATCTGTACTACTCTGTAGACTGTACTGTAGCAATGTTCAAAGACTATACTATTCATAGTTTACCAAGTCGTTACCAAGAAGTACTATTTTAAAAGTTATCAGAAAGCCAGCACGTGACTTGGGTGTGTGTAAAATGACTAGCTTGGGAAGCGTGTTGTGGCTTATCAAAGTACAACGCACAGTGCATTACTTTATGGGCCTCTAGAAATGACCGAATAGCACTTGTTGTTGTTATGCACTGATAATTATGTACAGCTGCAACTCTTGAACAAATAATTGAGCTATTTCTCTCTTGGTAGATTCCAATTTTCAGTACTTCGGTTGGTATCCTGCCACCTAAAATTACACTCTGGCGAACATTTAATCTCTAATCCACAAGAATTCTACATACACCTGCTGTAGGTACGGAAAATTAGCTATGGCCAGAGAGTCGTATGTAAACTGGGTTCATACGACTCCCTTGTCTCCACATGAAAACCCCAGGGTAAAAGTTGCACATCAAAGTGTTTACATCACAATTCTCTTTCATTGATCCAAGCTGTAGATATCATCCATAATTATCCAAATACATGTACATCTAACCAAAAGCATCCGTGTCAGGTCTAGGATTGGGGGTCAACCGGGTACATGATTTGCCTTGCAGACAGAACATGGTCTGGTACACGGCCAGTCTGCAATCGCAAGTCCACGCACGCATGAGCTGATTGGAAAGTCATTGTTCGACGGTCGATTTTGAATCACGGAAGACTCTGATGTCGTGCTTTTGCCAAGAAGTTGTTCTTGATAGATGTTTTCATAGGATGATTTGGTCACGGGATGTGTTGGGCACATGTTACGAAGAATTGTGCAGTATCTTTATTCTCACGATAGCCAGTGGCCAATAATATGTTGTTTGAATTTTGAATTTGAATTCTTTATTCTCACGATGGCACCATCGCCAATAAGAGATAATTGTTGTTGTTGTTGTTGTTGTTGTTGTTGTTGTTGTTGTTGTTGTTGTTGTTGTTGTTGTTGTTGTTGTTGTTGTTGTTGTTGTTGTTGTTGTTGTTGTTGTTGTTGTTGTTGTTGTTGTTGTTGTTGTTTGAATTCTTTATTCTCACGATGGCACCATCGCCAATAAGAGATTTGTTGTTGTTGTTGTTGTTGTTGTTGTTGTTGTTGTTGTTATTGTTGTTGTTGTTGTTGTTGTTGTTGTTGTTGTTGTTGTTGTTGTTGTTGTTGTTGTTGTTGTTGTTGTTGTTGTTGTTGTTGTTGTTGTTGTTGTTGTTGTTGTTGTTGTTGTGTATAGCTGTGGTGATAACTTGCGGCAACCCAGGTCTTCCTGACAATGCTGTGCGGCAAGGGGATTCCTTCACAGCTGGTGATGTGGTGAGCTACACCTGTCGTCCGGGATACACACCCGTGAGCGGTGATCTGTCTCGTCAATGTCAATCCAATGGTCAATGGACTGGGGTGTTGCCAACATGCCAAGGTAAAGACGCACTTGAACTATGTGTTGCTTACTTGAAGTATTTTGATTTGTCCTAATATGTATGCAGTCTGGTCCTGCTTTTTCCATTCTAGTTTCTTTGCCAACATGTGGAAAATCGGCTAGACAGACTCTGGATATCAGCTATTGCCGACGATTGCCTGCCTATAATGACAGTTCCAACCATTATTGACATTATCCAGTTGATAAGAAGAAAAGAGGACCTAAGCTACAAGTTACACTATAATATCCACTAACACCACTAGTTACTTTACAATCAGCTCATGCGATAACATTGCACGACACTGACCAACGGTACTGGCATTCTACACCTAACTGGCAATCAGCTCTAGCACATCTCTAGCATGTCTTGGTGGTGTTCGTGGATATTATAGCGTAACTTGTAGCTCTTTGGTCCTCTTTTCTTCTTATAAATTAATCCTTGGCTCTCCACCCGAGTCTAAGTATATAGTTGACTCACTTATAAAGAACTCGTATACAGCGAATTTGTGATGTAACAAACCATTGTCCATGACCCTGTTTGAACCCGCACAAAATTGACCCTTTGCAACGAACTGTTTTCGTTTATAATGAACCATATCTTATAGGGTCACATGATAACCTAGTGTAACCACACAGCCATGGGTCACATGCCAGTCACCAGTCACGATGTGTTGTGTGTAACTTTGTATTGGGTGAGTGCATTTCTGTTATAACAAACTTCGGCTATAAAGAACTCATTTTCCTGCACAATGGTGTTCGTTACATCAGAAGTCGACTGCAGCTATTCTCAGACATTGCTTCTATTGTGTTCTAAGTTAATGACGTGATTGCTGTTGTCTTTGCAGTTTCTTCAACACCACCAAGTGGCTGTAGTGACCCAGGAACTCCACGCAATGGACAACGGGCTGTGGGTGCGCAGTTCCCTAATGTCGGTGCCATTATTAGGTTCCGCTGTCTCAGTGGCTATCGGATCACAGGCAGTATACGGCGTGTGTGCCAAGCGAATGGACAGTGGTCCGGAACTCAGCCAACCTGCTCCAGTAAGCACACCATGGGTCCAGTTCTCACTGTTTCCTGTACAGCTTGCCTGTGCACCTAGTTCTGTATGAATTGGCATCTTTGTTTTGGTGCGTCATCTACTGTGTAGGTGATTGTGTGCCCGGCACATGCAGACGTAGGCAGCAATGCAAACTTTGTATGTGTTTGACTGTGTGTGTGTATATGTGTGTGTGTGTGTGTGTGTGTGTGTGTGTGTTTGATTTGTGTTGTGTTGGTGATGCGCAGCTGTGCAGTGTGCACCAGTCCCATCGATTGCTGGTGCGCTGGTGACGATTGTTCCGGATGATGGACGCTATGCAGCCGGCACTGTAGTGACTGTCACATGTGGCGAGGGCTTTGAACTCATCGGAGAGTCTCTGCTGATCTGTGATGACTCTGGACGTTATTCTGCAGCGTTACCGCAATGTCAGGGTGAGTGGTGTACAAGCACTCGTACACATGGATGGATGCCAGTCTATGTATGTATATTACTATTATGTAGTAGTCCCAGGGTAGCCGTAGTAATTCGTATCGAGGAGATCCAACCTGTCTCCATATCTATGTTGTGTGTTGGACTCAACTTCTTTGCTCAGTATTGCTTTGTTCTTTTGCAATTAATTTCCTTGGTATTTAGTTGCAACCAGACCAACAACTTCAGCACCTGTCGGTATTACTGGCAACCCTGTGGTAACCTCCTCACCATCGGAGACACCCATCACTCCAGGTAACTGAAGCCGATCTCTCGTTGCTCCTCTTAAAGAGAGGGCTTTAAAATGCTCTGTCTCTCCCTCTCCCTCCCTCTCTCTCCCTCCCTCTCTCCCTCCCTCCCTCTCTCCCTCCCTCTTTCTCTCTTTCTCTCTCTCTCTCTCTCTCTCTCTCTCTCTCTCTCTCTCTCTCTCTCTCTCTCTCTCTCTCTCTCTCTCTCTCTCTCTCTCTCTCTCTCTCTCTCTCCGCCTCTGATTTACACGGCTCTCTGTGTGTCTGAAAGTGTTTACGTCGTCAAATGAACAGGTACGCAAAGGGCCGATGTTGTGACTGTGTGAGCCACGCATGTACAATGATGGCACATAAATGTTGGTGTTGGTACACGACGATTGACCATCTTCTTATTTTTGGCCTGCATGATAGGAGAGAAATACTTTGCCACCGATTGTAATCCTCCCTAAAATGATGCGCCGATATTCTTCCCTCATGGTTTGAAAATTTATGCTGGCGAAGACACCATCTACTATTTAGCCCTTGAGTTGCAGATTCTGTGGTGATTCTGTACTCTTACTGAATGTTGTGTGTGTGTTTCCCTGTTCTCTGTCTTCTGCAGTTTGGCCTGATCCAGCCTTTACCTCAGCACCTACTTATGTTGATCTGAATCTCCCGGCATCTACCCAACCATCTGCCACGTATGATGTATATATTCTACGTCCAGGAGAACCAACATTCTCTTTCCTGGCATCTTATCCAGGTTGGTGGCATGCTAAAAGCACTTGTTGAATAGAATACATACCAGCAATGCTTGTGTATGTATTGCAGGAGGAACCATATCCGCTGTCACAACGGTGATCAGTGTGAATAAGCACAAAGTGCAATAATACACAGAAGGGGAATGAAAGCACTGAGTGGCTGTCTCCTTGGTTACAATGATGATGCACAACATGTGGTGCCTCCAAGTGTCATGTCACGTGACTCTTTGAGGGCAGTGCTGTACTGCTTTTGATCATGATCATGTGGTACGGTTTGGGTTGTGTGTGTGTGTGTGTGTGTGTGTATGTGTGTGCTTTGTGCGTGTGTGTGTGTCCTGTTTTTACTGTCCACTGTGCTAATCAGTCGAACCCAGTATCTCTGTACAACGTGTTCCCATCGTCCCTGGCGACACCTACCAGTTCGTGATCCGTGCTCGCATTGGAGATTTGACCTCAGGGAATAGTGCTCCCATCACTGTTCCAGCAGGTACTGATACAATCCATTTTTTGCGGAGGATGAATGTTTCCATTTGTGTGCATGTCACGTGTTTAGTGGTCAGAAATTTCTTGTCTCATTCTGTCACTGATGCGATCAACATCTATTGGTAGAACAGCTCATAAAGTTTAAGCCGTGGCTTGTACACATGTTTCATAGAATGTCACAGGCTTCTATATATGAGACATGCTTGCAACCAGTACATGTATTGGTGTTCGCTTCTGTACGCTCTTTATGAGTGATGTTGACAGAACTTTCTCTTGCTTTGGCCTGTGTTTTCTAGAGGACACTCCAGCCACGACTCCAGGACCAACTGATGCTGTGACAACAACCGCACCTGACATTCCTGCGCCGTGTGAGTTACATCACTGGCCATATTCATGTTGATTCTGACTACTAGTATTAACACTTTGACGGCCATTCATCATACAGACGGTGTACGAGGACCTCGACCTTGTTCAAACCTATTCATTTATGAGTAGGGTTACCTAGAATGTGAAACGGTTGTGTTGAGTATCCTGTGTTTGTGTTTCTTTTGCAGCCTGGCCTGCTGAGGCGTTCACCGCAGCAGCTAGCTATGCTGATCTCCGGTTCCCAGGCTCGTTGACCCCATTGCTGCAGTATGATGTGTTTATCCAGAGACCTGGGGAGCCATCGTTCTCGTTCCTGGCTACATATGAAGGTGTGCATTTAATTGATATTGCTTAGGGGCGATCTCAGCATTCCAGAGTCTGAGTCGTGTTCTTTTAAACCCCCTCCCTGCTGCAGTTGAAGTTTTCTGACGGCATTCCAATCAAACAGGTCCCAACGTCCGAACATGATTTCTCTGGGGGAGGGGGAGGAGGGGTACAGAATTTTGAGATGACCCTTACTTCGATTGAAGTAAAGATGAGATTCTGGTTATTGGGCTGGTCAAACGATAAGGAACGAACTCAGCTCATGTCTGGATGCGTATGCATCTCTCTTCAATAGTGAATAGCATAAATATGGTTGCATTGGATGGAGTGGCAGACCAGTACGTGTGATGTCTCTTTGAACAAAACACCCATGGCTTAATCGCATACCTCTATGGGGCCACGCTTTGAGTTCATTGTACGATACTGAGCATGTTACCTGGATATTGATAAATCTTGGATGACGAAGTACTGGCATTGAGCACTTCTCTGAAGGTGGATGACACATGGGTTAGTAAGTCATGGGATCAGAAAGTGAAACAGCCACACATTCTTGTTCAATTTCCGTGTTGTGCTCTCTTTGTGCAATTACTCAGCCACGAACACCATCAGTGTCCAGCGTGTACCCCTTAGTCCTGGTCAGACCTACCGATTTGTCTTCCGAGCTCGCCTGGGCCCTACAACATCTGAGAACAGCATACCCATCATCGTAGTAACCGGTATGACTAGTGTACTGAAACATTCAATATCACAAGAACATGTATCTTCACTGTGTGATCTAGCTTTTCCTCATCCGATTGTAGTTGATGTTACTTGCTACTTACGGAAACTACCTACCACCAGTACACCTGCTCTTCTGGTACTGGTGACCTCCGATCTGAATGTACTGAAGTAGATAGACAAGCTAATGGTATTTGTACTCTTATTTTGACGTCTGGCTCATCACATTGACCTACATGTACACTGTACTCGATTATTTACCTGTTGGAGGTCAGCCGCTCGTGTGCACCTCGTCTAATTCATTCGCACACTGCTGTTGTGTGTTTCCGTGTGATTAGGACCTGGCACAGATCCAGTCCCAGACACTTCACCTACAACCAGTCCGGGTTTGGCTGCACCAGGTATGCACTGTCTTAGAAAATCAAAGTATTGTACTGCGTGATTCGTTTCAGTTCAATGTTGAGTGCACTGTACTTTCAAGTGCATGTATGATAGATAACTTATCTGTCCATATGTTCATTGTTGAAATTAGTCATTTCAGGTTGAATTTTGCAAGACTCTTTGTTTGATAAAACAGAGAGATGTTGAGCTGCTTTTGTTGCATTTGCTGTTCCTCAGTATAGAGAATATGCTGTACACTATAGACAGCATACTACCAGTCACATGTTTGATGGGTTTCGTGGTGGAAAACTCCAGAGCATTCGTTTCTTCTTGCCATTCGTTAGGTCGTGTATGAATGGTCTGTTTACAGGCCATTTTCTTACAATATTTAAATAATGGGTGTGTTTTAGAGAAAGTCCGTCCTGCCTTTTTGTCTCTTTCTAGATGGCTGTTATTTCTCGTTGTTGTGTTGTGCTACACAGTGTGGCCGGAACCATCTTTCAGTGTATCGTCAACCTACGTGGATTTTAACCTACCAGCCAGCAACCAGCCCTCTGCACGATATGAATTGTTCATCCAGCGTCCTGGAGAGCAGTCATTTGCATTCTTTGGGTCTTATGATGGTAAGTATCCGGCATGCAGTGTAGTCTTAGCGCCAGGCATTGCTCTCATTCGGCTCAATATCTGCATGGTTAGAAGTACGGTATGATTCTTTCGATGTCATGTCACTTCTTGAATTGACTACTGTTTGTGATATCTGCTTTGCTCTTTCAGCCTCTCCAAGTGTCACAGTGCAGAGAGTGACTCCGTTGCAGCCTGGTCAGACATATCAGTTCACTATACGATCAGTTGTGAATGGTGTACCATCACCAATCAGTGATCCGATCACTGTCACCACCAGTAAGTTGAACATTATTGCAATACTGTTTAGAAGTCCATGATTGTTTACTTGCAATATCCTATGCACCTTTGTACTGCTGAGTTCATGTTGTGCCGCATTCATTGTTACCAGCGTGCCCTGTTCCTGTTGCCTCCTGGCTGTGTGTGTGATTGGTTGCATTGTGTTTTTTTGCATGCTTCTGATATTCCAGGCACTGGACTCGAGCCCACTACTGCACCCCCTACGGATCTTGCACCTGGTACGGATATGTGCAAACAGTGTCGCTGGGTTCTTGATCTCTGTTGCGTGTTGGAACAACTCCTTTATCGATATCTTAGCTTCTGGAACTGTGTGTGTTAGCTATCTCATCTGAGCTGGTGATTAGTATTATTATAGAGGTTTTGCAAATGATAACATTATTATAACATAACATTAGCGTAATGGCATTGAGGGGCAACCCAGCACTAGTTTGTATTGAGTGGCAACCAAGTACTTGTAGTGCCACAGACTTCACAGTTTTGCCACTCCATACGAAAACATCTCAAATGATGACGTTATAGCTGCTCCATATGCTACATCATGTGGGTATGATCATTGTGGTGTTGTGCAGTGTGGCCTCAACCAGCCTTCTCGGTGTCGACCACTTACGCGGACTTGAATCTGCCGGCAGTGAACACCCCTGCGTCACAGATTGAAGTGTTCATCCAACGTCCCGGAGAGCAGTTCACATTCTTAGCTTCCTATGACGGTAAGCACCCTAGACACATGGTATTGCTATGGAAATTGTGACATATCAGCATGGGATGCTCTCCTCTTTATCCAGACATGTGCCATGCTTATCTCCTACATGTACATCCTGTTCTTTCTCTCCTGTCATACAGCCTCTCCAAGTGGCACAGTGCAGAGAGTGACTCCGCTGCAACCTGGTCGGACTTATCAGTTCACTATGCGATCAGTTGTGAATGGTGTACCATCACCAATCAGTGATCCGATCACTGTCACTACCACCGGTAAGTCGTATCATTTCATCTAGGGCTGCACATCGCTTGGCCCGTACTTGATGCATGCGACCATATTTCATTGAGTAGCACTGTACACCTTGCACTGTACTTGCTGTGCAAATCTTCCTTGCCGCTTTTCAGTCAAATGACAAGGAAATCGATCATGGTTTACAGCACTAGAGCAGGTGTACCAAAGCCCACAATACTATTGTATCTGAATGCACTGAACAGTGCACATGCCTTATCTTGCTGCGAGCGTGTGACACAACTACCACGGCATTCATTCACATGCCAATATTCAAACGCAGCCATGCATTGAGTCACACTTTGTTGTTAGGGTATGTATGCTGATTTTGTCGTCCTCCGACAAAGACAAGTCTCTGATCTTCTTGTTACCAATACAGATGATGGAGCAGAGCCTACTACTCCTTCTCCAGGCTTGCCTGCTCCAGGTATGTATGTTACTATAATATGCGTGCCCCTCACCACTACTAGTATTATATGCGTCTTAATTGTGTCTGCTGGATGGAAAAAGAAGAATCTGTGCAAAATATGTAGTACTAAGGTCTTACCGGTACAAGAAAGTCAAAGGCTATGCGAATTATATCTCGAGAGCTATCAATGCACGTGCATACCCTAGTTTTAGATTGGTACAGTGGAATGCAATCTGACAGATCGTGGGAAACATTTGCGATGCAGATTGCTGGATCGCTGGAAAAAGCATGCAATGGCCAACTTGCACAGCACAGATACAGAGGTATCACCAAGGTAGCCGACACATCCAGTACATGCAAATCATGCATGTTTAGTTAGCATAAAGCAAAGACTAGATACATCTACCAGTATGTGGAAGGCAGTGTACATGCAAGCAAGACTTTTGAGTTCGTAAGTGCTTGCTGATGTCGCTTAGTGTCAATTCCATTTCTTAGTTGATGCTTGATTTTTCTCTTCTTGTCCTTTGCAGTATGGCCGCGCCCAGCCTTTAGTGTATCATCAACGTATGTAGATTTGAACTTGCCAGCTGCCAGTCAGCCATCCACACGATATGTGATCTATGTTCAACGACCAGGGGAGCAATCGTTCACATTCTTTGGATCTTATCCAGGTAAGCCTGAACATAGTTCATCCCCAGACGCGCATTCTATCCGCATCTGATGGTACTGAAGCCTATCGCCTTTGTTTGCGATCTAATATCTAGTAAACATAGACCGTAGACTGGAGGGGCGTGGGCGGAAGAGCTAGTATTCATAAAATACACTGTGCAAGTACATGTATGTAAATATTGGAACAGTACCATAGTGTGCCACTTGAATATTTTACTGAGTGGATTGCGAGTTTTAGATCTGCCACCGCTTCTTAGAAACTGTCTTTGGATGTGTTATATTACTTCTCCTCTCGCCTGTTGTTATTTGCAGCATCTCCGAGCATCAGTGTTCAGAGAGTTCCAATGTCTCCAGGTCAGACATATCAGTTTGTTATTCGCTCAGTTGTCAATGGAGTCAACTCACCTCAGAGCGTGCCCATTTCTGTCACTGCCAGTAAGTATATAGATATATTGCTCATTGTACAGTTGCGCTCACTGAAATCCGACCTAAAGTGCAAAACTGACGCCCTGGACCAGTCCGGATTACATCACTGTACTGGTACATGTGTACGTCCAGCCGCATGCGTACCACTTCCATGGTGTCAAGGGCCGTGCAAGTTGAGGGTGAGAAGTATGCGCTCTGGGTCGGATTTCACCGAGCACAACTGTACTTTTGTGTGTGTATGTATGTGTGTGTGTGTGTGTGTGTGTGCGCGTGCGTGCGCGCGCGTGCGCGCGCGCGTGTGTGTGTGTGTGTGTGTGTGTGTGTGTGTGTGTGTGTGTGTGCGCGCGCGCGTCTCTCTCCTAATCGAATTTAGCGTTTTAATTATGTTAGAGAAAGATGGTCAGATTCTTCTCACAGTCTTCTTCCCCATGTTCCTGTATTAAATCTCGTTCAATTGTATATCGCGCACAATCTGTTTATCTTTAATATGGTGTCTATCTCTTTTCTGTTCTCTTATGTAGGAGATACTACTGAACCAGCTACACAATCTCCCGGAGGTACTGCAGCACCAGGTTGGTCACAGGAATAAATACTGATAAATACTGTGTTGCCGGTTTTATGACCGTTTCTTCTTCTTCTTTTTTTTTTGTAAACAAGCATTTCGGAGATAGCAACTTTATTGTCGCAAACCAAGAGGACAAACTATGCGGTAACCATTATTTATTATGATTACAATAACGTACATGAGAGGGATGTGAAATGTACATGAGAGGGATGTGAAACGTACGTGAGAGGGATGTGAAATGTACATGTAAAAGGAAACAAATGTTCAGAACAGTTTTCTCGTTACGATCATGACCCCTTGCCGGAGATAATGTTTTCGCGCTAGGACCGTGTGTGTCCTTTGTGTAAATATGTTCTATCTGTCATTCAGAATAATATTATATAAAAATAAAATGTATTGGCTGGTTTCTTTATTTCCTGCTCAGTGTGGCCTGAACCATCGTTCAGCGTATCGTCAACCTACGTGGATTTGAACCTACCAGCCAGCAACCAGCCTTCTGCACGATATGAATTGTTCATCCAGCGTCCTGGAGAGCAGTCGTTTGCATTCTTCGGTTCTTATGATGGTAAGTGTCAGACATGCAGCATTGCTATGAGTAGCGTGACATGTGAGAACGAGATGTCCTCTTTCATAAACGAATCTGTTCTGCACTGATCTCAAGTATCCTATGTTTTCTGCTCTTTTCCTATTGTGCAGCGTCTCCAAGTGTCACAATGCAGAGAGTGACTCCGTTGCAGCCTGGGCAGACATATCAGTTCACTATACGATCAGTTGTGAATGGTGTACCATCACCTAATAGTGCTCCAATCACTGTCACTACCAGTAAGTATTTGGTCAACAATTGTAGTTGTAGACTTGAAGTGCAGTCATACTGCATCCTCTTACTACATGCTGTACATATCCTGTTATGTAAGTATTGACAGCAGCTTTCACTGTGCATTCTGCATTCACAGGTGGTGGAACTGAACCCTCAACCTCATCCCCAGAGCTGCCTGCTCCAGGTATGTTCTCTTACATGTAGATCGAGTCTTTGCTTACAATAGGGTCATTTGCCATGGCCAAGTGCTGGTAGCTCAAACTCCAGCTTATGGACATTCTTTCTTGCCTGGTTGTCTAAAGATAGAGTAATCAGAGCAATGCATGTGTGCTTGTATCGGAAGAGTGTACAGCCGTACTCTATTCGTAGCCAGCACATTCACTGCATTCATGTCGATACCAAATGTTATACCAGTGCTGCACTTTGCATGCACAGATTTGTAGAGTTTCTCCTTTTCTTAAAGTATAGTATTGGATTGTAATGAGACGGCCATCAGACTTCACCTCGATATCGAGATGTGAGCTAGAACTACGGGTGAAGAGCAGCACTTGACACTCCACAGCTTTAGTGTTTCCGCTGAATGTTTATATTTCGGAATTAAATTCTGAACCAAAATGTGGAAGCTGAATCAGAATGTTCCTACAAGTGAAACGGGGACTGGACTGAAATTTCTGGAGCGCTACTTTACAAACTGAGATAAACTAAAGGATTGACAAGAGACATAAGGCGGTGATTTTAGGTACGACGAAAGAACCAAGGACTGCAGAAACAAGGAGATCAACAAGTAACGTTAATGCAGAAAATGGGCGGAAGTAAAGGGTGATGGAACGATAGATTTAGATTGTGGAGGATATGCATCTTGAACTCATGAACTCATGCAGTTTGTGACTCTCAATTTGTCTTCCAGTACCACCAGGTACAAGCGGAAAGTTTCGGGTATTATATACTAGTATATGCTCCGTACATGTATATGTCTTATGGCATTTCTCTTTGTGGTGTTCTCTTGTAATTTCTTGTCACATTCTGTATAGTGTGGCCACAACCAGCCTTTAGTGTATCGTCAACGTATGTAGATTTGAACTTGCCAGCTGCCAGTCAGCCATCCTCCACAAGATACGTGATCTATGTTCAACGACCAGGGGAGCAATCGTTTACGTTCTTTGGAACCTTTCCAGGTATGCATGCCAGTTCTTTGCTTGAGGCTTGTAAAGTGTGAGTTGTTTGCCATGTTGACTTCCGTATTTTGCGGTACATGTCTGACATTTTTTTCAGTCTTATGTTTTTTTCTCGGCATTGAGGCAGTTTGCAGTGTTTAAAAAAAATGGTGTGTTGTTTCATTTGGAGTCTGCTGTTGTGTTTGTTAATTGCAGCATCTCCGAGTATCAGTGTGCAGAGAGTTCCAATGTCTCCAGGTCAGACGTATCAGTTTGTTATTCGCTCAGTTGTCAATGGAGTCAACTCACCTCAGAGCGTGCCCATCTCTGTTACTGCCGGTAAGTATTTGCTGTTAAAGCTGGAAATTCTCTGGTCACTTGTATTTGCATTATCTCAGCTATACCTTCCAGCATGTGCTGCTTATTCCCAAGGTTTGCTACATGTAGCACGTCTGGCGAATCCAGGGTCCCGTGGCCCTTAGAACGTATGCTTGTGGGCGTTGTTTGCATATGCCAAGTGACCAAGTGATCACGGGTGAGCGGCAGGTGTGTACACATAGTGACTCCTCTATCATAATCGAATGTAGCACGTGATCAAGTCATCATGAGTGAGGCAGCATATGTTTGGCTGCTTAGTTGTTTGCAAGTACCACATGGACCGCATGGCCTAATGATCATGAGTGAATGACTACTACTGACTACCCTTCGCCACGTCTTGGCGATGGGCCCTCAAAGTTATGGCCCATGCATGCATGTCCTCTCGTTTTCTGCATGTCTCTGCCTTGAATTCCTGTGACTTGTTTCCTTCTGCACTTGTTGATCTCCTACCTGATGCCTTTCTCTTCTAACATCTCAATGTTTCATCATAGGAGATGGCACAGAACCAGCTACTCAATCACCTGGTGACGGTGCTCCAGGTAAGTCATAGAATTAATGCTGTCAGTCCGTTTGGTTTGCTCCACATGTACTCTCTTTTAGACCTGTTGTTGTGTTACTTGTCCTTGTCCTCTGAACACTGCTTTAGTTGTGTGAACCCATCAATATGATTGTACTGTACACACGTCTTCTTCTTTGCCTTTTATGCAGTGTGGCCGGAACCATCGTTCAGTGTATCATCAACCTACGTGGATTTAAACCTACCAGCCAACAACCAGCCCTCTGCACAATATGAATTGTTCATCCAGCGTCCTGGAGAGCAGTCGTTTGCTTTCTTTGGTTCTTATGATGGTAAGTATCAAGCATGCAGTGTAGTCTTAGTACCATGCATTGCTCTTATTCAGAGCAGGGTCTCTCCAAGGTTGTAACTAGGGTATGATTCTTTCAATGTCATGTCACTTCTAGAATTGATTGCGGTTTGTTTGTGATATCTGCTTTGCTCTTTCAGCATCTCCAAGTATCACAGTGCAGAGAGTGACTCCGCTGCAGCCTGGTCAGACATATCAGTTCACTATACGATCAGTTGTGAATGGTGTACCATCACCAATCAGTGATCCGATCACTGTCACCACCAGTAAGTATTTTGGGATGGAGATCTTGTTGTCAGCAGAATGCTTACATGCTTCAACACCTGAGTAATGTGGTGCAGTTATTGGCAGCACTTTTCACTGTTCATTCCCTGTACTCTTTTTTGCTTGTACAATGTAGGTGGTGGAACTGAACCCTCGACATCATCTCCAGAATTGCCTGCACCAGGTAATTTGTCCTGATCAGTGTTGCCAAGCATGACACGCTTCTTGCCTGTATGGCTCGGCTTATCTGTTGAGCAAAATGTGTTTGCTCTTCCGACTTTGGGATAGGAAAATGCCATGTTTGCTCTGTTGTTTCAGGATGTATTTCCATTGTCCTTCCTATATCCACATAGGCACATACATGACTAGCTGGTTTACTTTTTCTTTTTTACGTATATCATACTGGTCACAGAATTGAGGAATGTCACGTGAATTTGTTTCAGCCAGCTATATACATATCCATGGTGCCTCAGAATAACCAAGACAGAGTAAAGGTGATATCCTTCGTGTTCCCCTGAGTGGAAATAACGTTGTGGTGCCAATGTTTTCCCCTGCGTGTTTGTTGTCTCATTGTAGTGTGGCCACAACCAGCCTTTAGTGTATCATCAACGTATGTGGATTTGAACTTGCCAGCTGCCAGTCAGCCATCCTCACGATATGTGATCTACGTTCAACGACCAGGGGAGCAATCGTTCACTTTCTTTGGATCTTATCCAGGTAAGCACTCAATTTGTTTGCACGTCGTATGTCTTATAGCAAGCTGTCTACCAAGCTGAACCCTGTAGAATGTGGATTTCTCTGTCAACCGATTCTGAAGTGTTGTGTTTTCTGTAGCACCAGAGTCTGTCTTTTCATAGTAATTTTTGCTTTCTGCTGTTGTGTTTGTTAATTGCAGCATCTCCAAGTATCAGTGTGCGGAGAGTTCCTATGTCTCCTGGTCAGACGTATCAGTTTGTTATTCGTTCAGTTGTCAATGGAGTCAACTCACCTCAGAGTGTACCCATTTCTGTTACTGCCAGTGAGTATTTTCCTGTCACACAGTTTCCTTCTGACATGCTCTGTACAGCACATCCTTGACCTTGACAGTATTGACCTTTCAATGATTACGCCTTTGGTTTGTGATTTTGGTTTGCCTACCTCTGCCCTCAATACGTCATGTTGATTCCGTGCCTTTCTTTAAAAGGAGTAGATAGTCAATCCAGACAAATGTATTTTCATACTGCTGGGAACAGAATTGTGACTTGGAGTTTCACGCTTAGGTGACAGTCCAACAACAATTAACACCATCTCTTTCCCTCAAACACATGACCATCTCTTTTGATGTATTTTCCACCATACAGGAGATACCACTGAACCAGCTACACAGTCTCCCGGCGATGGTGCACCAGGTAAGTCACTGGAGTGCTGTTGTTAGTCCTGTTCTGCTTTGCTGTCCTCTCTTATACACCTGCTTCTCCCTTTCTGATCTCATTCATTAGTATTGTGTGAATCACTTAGTAGGTGTGCGCAACTGTTTCTTTGTGCCTTTGTGCTACACAGTGTGGCCGGAACCATCGTTCAGTGTATCGTCAACCTACGTGGATTTGAACCTGCCAGCCAACAACCAGCCCTCTGCACGATATGAATTGTTCATCCAGCGTCCTGGAGAGCAGTCGTTTGCATTCTTTGGTTCTTATGATGGTAAGTGCCAGGCATGCAGCATTGCTATGGATAATGTGACATGTGAGAATGAAATGTCCTCTTATTTGTCCTAATCTGTTCTGCACTTGTCTCAACAATCCAGTGTTTTCTGCTGTACTCCTGTCATGCAGCCTCGCCAAGTATCACAGTGCAGAGAGTGATTCCGCTGCAGCCTGGTCAGACATATCAGTTCACTATACGATCAGTTGTGAATGGTGTACCATCACCAATCAGTGATCCGATCACTGTCACCACCAGTAAGTATATTGGAATGGAGATCTTGTTGTCAGCAGAATGCTTACATGCTTCAACACCTGAGTAATGTGGTGCAGTTATTGGCAGCACTTTTTACTGTTCATTTCCTTTGTTCTTTTTTGCTTGTACAATGTAGGTGGTGGAACTGAACCCTCGACATCATCTCCAGAATTGCCTGCACCAGGTAAATTTTGTCCTGATTATGTTTCCAAGCATGACACGCTTCTTGGCTGTATGGCTCGGCTTATCTGTTGAGCAAAACGTGTATGCTCTTCCGACCTTGGCATAGGAAAATACCATGTTTGCTCTGTTGTTTCACGATGTATTTCTAGTGTCCTTCCTGTATCCACCACACACATGACTAGCTGGTTTACTTTTGCTTTTGTTGGGTATGATCATGGTCACAGAATTGAGGAATGTCACGTGAGTTTGTTTCAGCATTATTTGTTGCCTCAGAATGATCAGGACATAGTAAAGGTGATATCCTTTGTTTTCTCTGAAGTGGAAATAACGGTGTGTTGTCAATGTCTCTCCCCCCCCCCCTCGTGTGTTTGTTGTCTCATTGTAGTGTGGCCACAACCAGCCTTTAGTGTATCATCAACGTATGTGGATTTGAACTTGCCAGCTGCCAGTCAGCCATCCTCACAATACGTGATCTATGTACAACGACCAGGGGAGCAATCGTTTACTTTCTTTGGATCTTATCCAGGTGAGCACTTTCATTCGTTTCCTATATTATCATCTATCTTATAGCAAACTGTCCACTAAGCTGAACCCTGTAGAATATGGACTTCCCTGCCAACCGATTCTGAAGTATTGTATTTTCTGCAGCCCCATGGTCTGTCTTTTCTTTGTATTTTTTGATTTCTGTTGTTATTTGCAGCATCTCCAAGTATCAGTGTGCAGAGAGTTCCTATGTCTCCTGGTCAGACATATCAGTTTGTTATTCGTTCAGTTGTCAATGGAGTCAACTCACCCCAGAGTGTACCCATCTCTGTTACTGCCAGTGAGTATTTTGTTGTCACACATTTTCTTTCTAACATGCTCTGTACAGAACATCCTGGACCTAGACAGTATTGACCTTTCAATGATTACACCTTTCAATTTGTGATTTTGGTTTGCCTACCTCTGCCCTCAATACGTCATGTTGATTCTGTGCCTTTTTCTTAAAGAGTAGATATTTAATCCAGACAAATGTATTTGCATACTGCTGGGAACAGAATTGTGACTTGGAGTTTCACGCTTAGGTGACAGTCCAACAACAATTAACACCATCTCTTTCCCTCAAACATATGACCATCTCTTTTGATGCATTTTCCACCATACAGGAGATACCACTGAACCAACTACACAGTCTCCTGGCGATGGTGCACCAGGTAAGTCACTGGAGTGCTGTTATCAGTCCTGTTCTGCTTTGCTGTCCTCTCTTATACACCTGCTTCTCCCTTTCTGATCTCATTCATTAGTATTGTGTGAATCACTTAGTAGGTGTGCGCAACTGTTTCTTTGTGCCTTTGTGCTACACAGTGTGGCCGGAACCATCGTTCAGTGTATCGTCAACCTACGTGGATTTGAACCTGCCAGCCAACAACCAGCCCTCTGCACGATATGAATTGTTCATCCAGCGTCCTGGAGAGCAGTCGTTTGCATTCTTTGGTTCTTACGATGGTAAGTGCAAGGCATGCAGCATTGCTATGAATAATGCGACATGTAGGAATGAAGTGTCCTCTTATTTGTCCAAATCTGTTCTGCACTTGTCTCAACAATCCAGTGTTTTCTGCTGTACTCCTGTCATGCAGCCTCGCCAAGTATCACAGTGCAGAGAGTGACTCCGCTGCAGCCTGGTCAGACATATCAGTTCACTATACGATCAGTTGTGAATGGTGTACCATCACCAAACAGTGCTCCAATCACTGTCACCACCAGTAAGTTACTTTAGCCAATTATTTGGTGCCGTTGAGAATTTGGAGTAAGTTATGCTCACATTGTATCCAGTCTGTATTGCGTGTAGTTGTTGAGAGTGGTTCTCATTATTCACTCCTGTGTTCACTCCTTTGTGCGCTGTTTGTTCAGGTGATGGAACTGAACCATCGACTTCATCTCCAGGTCTACCTGCGCCAGGTAAATTCACTGAAATTGAACCATGTTTGTGTAACCAAAATCAACACTATATTATACTGGTACTGTGTGTTTCGTAGGCCTTGTCTTCTTTAACGTTTTTGGAGTCTTCAGTACCAAGTATGTGCTGCTATCCTTGGATTTAAAAGAGAATGTAACTTGTTCCATGACAAGTCGGTCTCTCTAAACACGGGGAGTGGCTTTGCCTTACAGCTAGAGAAGAACTTAGGTAGCCGCATGTGTTGTTACAAGCAACACAGCAACACAGAGGCATAAAGCAATGTATATTTACCCAGCAGGTTCCCACAATTGTTTTGAGAAACACCGTCAGCTTAGGAGAGGTTTCGCTTGTGCCCGACCACCACCATGCCCCATTATACCAGGGTGACAGATGCAGCGCCTAACGGCAAAGATGAGGTGGTAAGTCTCACAACCGATGCCCAACATGGGGTGAACCTCTTTAGCTACATACAACTGGAAGAGATGGAAATTAGCTACGAAACGAATAGCTTTCCTCTCTGCATGTTGCTTGTAATGCTCTATCTTGCGTTATTGAGCACTTTTCATTTGGTGCATTCCTCCTCTTGTGTTGTACGTCAACAGTATTTGTTTCCTTTCCCTTTTCTGTGCAGTATGGCCACAACCAGCCTTTAGTGTATCATCAACGTATGTAGATTTGAACTTGCCAGCTGCCAGTCAGCCATCCACACAATACGTGATCTATGTTCAACGACCAGGGGAGCAATCGTTTACTTTCTTTGGATCTTATCCAGGTAAGCACTCAATTTTGTTGCACGTCACTTATTTCGTCACAAACTGTCTACCCTGCTTGAACCCTGTAGAATGTGGATTTCTCTACCAACTGTTTCGGAAACATTGTCTTGTTTGTAGCTTCAATGTCTGTGATAAGGGGCGAAACAATGGTTTCCAAACGAACCTTTTTTATCAAATTGAAAACGGAGCTTCTTTTCAAATGGAAACGAAGGTTATCGGAACCTTCAACTCCTTCATTTCACCCCTATCTGTGATGTCGTTCTATTTCAATTTTTCTGTTGTTATTTTCAGCATCTCCGAGTATCAGTGTGCAGAGAGTTCCTATGTCTCCAGGTCAGACGTATCAGTTTGTTATTCGCTCAGTTGTCAATGGAGTCAACTCACCCCAGAGTGTGCCCATCTCTGTTACTGCCAGTAAGTATTTTGCTGTTTCCTTCTGATATGCTCTGTGCAGAACATCCTTGACCTAGACAGTATGAACTTTTCAGTGAATACACGCGTTGGTTCGTGATTTCAGTGTGCTTACCTCTCTGCTCAATAGAAGTTGATTTTGTGCCCTTCATTAGGAAAGCGTAGACAATCAATCCAGACAAATGTACAGGCAGACCTCGCTTATCCGGTCCTCTTTTATCCGGATCCCTCGCCATCCGGAAGATAACCGTTGGTTACCGATATACAGCATATGCCATGCATACATACAGCGTGTGTGTTCGATTATCAGGTTCCCTCGCCTATCCGGATATATTGTGGAAAACGGCTGTGTGCGGTTAAGCGAGGCCTGACTATATCTAGTATTATCTACACATTGCTGGGAACAGAATCGAGGAAGTTATATATTGTAACGTGGAGTTTCACGCTTAGATGAACGTCCAACAACTATGAACACCATCTCTTTCCCTCAAAGGTATGACCATCTCTTTTGATGTATTTTCCACCATACAGGAGATACCACTGAACCAGCTACACCATCTCCCGGCGATGGTGCACCAGGTAAGTTACTGGAGTGCTGTTGTTAGTCCTGTTCTGCTTGTTGCTTACTGTCCTCTTTTCTTCACATGCTTCATTCGTTTTACCTTCTCCGCACGTCCTGTATTATTGTGTGAATCGTTTGGTAAGTCTGCGGAACGGTTTCTTGTGTTGTGGTACACAGTGTGGCCGGAACCATCGTTCAGTGTATCGTCAACCTATGTGGATTTGAACCTACCAGCCAGCAACCAGCCCTCTGCACGATATGAATTGTTCATCCAGCGTCCTGGAGAGCAGTCGTTTGCATTCTTTGGCTCTTATGATGGTAAGTGCCAGGCATGCAGCATTGGTATGAATAGTATGACACATGAGAATGAAATGTCCTCTTCTATAACCAAATCTGTTCAGCACTGATCTCAACTATCCTGTACTATGTTCTGCTCTTCTACTGTTTTTACAGCCTCTCAAAGTATCACAGTGCAGAGAGTGACTCCGTTGCAACCTGGTCAGACATATCAGTTCACTATACGATCAGTTGTGAATGGTGTACCATCACTAATCAGTGCTCCAATCACTGTCACCACCAGTAAGTTACTTTAGCCAATTAGTGGGTGCCGTTGAGAATTTGGAGTGTATTCATGTTGCGTCCTGTCTGTATTGCGTGTAGTTGTTGAGAGCGGCTCTCATTGTTCACTCCTGTGTTCACTCCTTGTGCACTGTTTGTTCAGGTGATGGAACTGAACCATCGACTTCATCTCCAGGTCTACCTGCGCCAGGTAAATTCACTGAAATTGAACCATGTTTGTGTAACCAAAATCAACACGATGTTATACTTGTACTGTGCGTTTAGTAGGCCTTTTGTTCTTGGAGTCTTTAGTACCAAGTATGTGCTACTACATGTATCCTTGGGTAGCAACATGTTTTGTTAGTCGACATACACATGTATGTTGTATGTAACAAATACAAGCAACACAGAGGCATAAAGCAATGTATATTTAACCAGCAGGTCCCCACAATTCTTTGGAGAAACACCATCAGCTTAGGAGAGGTTTCGCTTTTGCCCGACCACCACAATGCCCCATTATAGTACTTCCCAGAGCTTTGTCAACTATGTTTACCAAATCTCCTATCTTCTCTGCATACTCGTATTGGCTCAAGCTGCCCATGGAAATGAAGACAATATCCAATATTAGACAGTTCATAGACCATGTTAAATGTCATGCCACGTTGTAGGCTCGCTCGCCTCTTTTGCTAGCTTATCTCGCCGCTCTCCACCATGGTCAACATAGTGATACATTTCACCCCGCTGATGCATTATTTTCTTCCGATTATCATCTTCTTTCCTTCATTCTTTCTTCTTTTTTTTCTTCTCTTGCCATGGCTGGCTAACGCCCCCTCCTTTGCATTGGCTTCTGCCATTGGACGGTGAAATAATAATAAAATAATACCAGGGTGACAGATGCAGCGCCTAACGGCAAAGGTGAGGTGGTAAGTCTCACAACCGATGCCCAACATGGGGTGAACCTTTTTTAGCTACATACATCTGGAAGAGATGGAAATTAGCTACAAAACGAGTAGCTTTCCTCACTTCATGTTGTTTATGCTGGCTCTATCTTGCGTTATTGAGCACTTTTCATTTGGTGGATTACTCCTTTTGTGTAGTATGTCAACTGTATTTGTTTCCTTTTCCTTTTCTTTGCAGTGTGGCCGCAACCAGCCTTTAGTGTATCATCAACGTATGTAGATTTGAACTTGCCAGCTGCCAGTCAGCCATCCACACAATATGTGATATACGTTCAACGACCAGGGGAGCAATCGTTTACTTTCTTTGGATCTTATCCAGGTAAGCACTCAATTCTGTTGCACGTCACTTATTTCGTCGCAAACTGTCTACCCTGCTTGAACCCTGTAGAATGTGGATTTCTCTACCAACTGTTTCTGAAACATTGTCTTGTTTGTAGCCTCAATGTCTGTGATAAGGGGCGAAACCATGGTCTCAATTTTCCAAACGAACCTTCTTTATCAAATTGAAAACGGAGGTTCGTTTCAAATGGAAACGAAGGTTATCGGAACCTTCAACTCCTTCATTTCACCCCTATCTGTGATGTCGTTTTATTTCAATTTTTCTGTTGTTATTTGCAGCATCTCCGAGTATCAGTGTGCAGAGAGTTCCTATGTCTCCAGGTCAGACATATCAGTTTGTTATTCGCTCAGTTGTCAATGGAGTCAACTCACCCCAGAGTGTACCCATCTCTGTTACTGCCAGTGAGTATTTCACACATTTTCCTTCTGAAATGCTCTGTACAGAACATCCTTGACCTAGACAGTATTAACTTTTCGGTGAATACACGCGTTGGTGCGTGATTTCAGTATGCTTACCTCTCTGATTTTGTGCCTTTCATTAGGAAAGCGTAGATAATTAATCCAGACAAATTTATCTACACATTGCTGGGAACAGAATCGAGGAAGTTATATTATGTTGTGACTTGGAGTTTCACGCTTAGATGCCCGTCTAACAACGATGAACACCATCTCTTTCCCTCAAACGTTTGACCATCTCTTTTGATGTATTTTCCACCATACAGGAGATACCACTGAACCAGCTACACCATCTCCCGGCGATGGTGCACCAGGTAAGTTACTGGAGTGCTGTTGTTAGTCCTGTTCTGGTTGTTGCTTGCTGTCCTCTTTTCTTCACATGCTTCTCCTTTTCATTTCTGATCTCATTCATTCATTTTACCTTCTCCGCACTTGATGTAGTTTTGTGTGAATCGTTTAGTAAGTCTGCGGAACGGTTTCTTGTGTTGTGGTACACAGTGTGGCCGGAACCATCGTTCAGTGTATCGTCAACCTATGTGGATTTGAACCTACCAGCCAGCAACCAGCCCTCTGCACGATATGAATTGTTCATCCAGCGTCCTGGAGAGCAGTCGTTTGCATTCTTTGGTTCTTATGATGGTAAGTGCCAGGCATGCAGCATTGGTATGGATAGTATGACACATGAGAATGATATGTCCTCTTCTATAACCAAATCTGTTCTTCACTGATCTCAACTATCCTGTACTATGTTCTGCTCTTCTAATGTTTTACAGCCTCTCCAAGTATCACAGTGCAGAGAGTGACTCCGTTGCAACCTGGTCAGACATACCAGTTCACTATACGATCAGTTGTGAATGGTGTACCATCACCAAACAGTGCTTCAATCACTGTCACCACAGGTAAGTTACTTTGGCCGATTATTTGATGCCATTGAGAATTTGAAGCATGCTCACATTGTATCCGATCTGTATTGCGTTTAGTTGTTGAGAGTGGCTCTCATTATCCACTCCTGTGTTCACTCCGATGTGCACTGTTTGTTCAGGTGATGGAACTGAACCATCGACATCATCTCCAGGGCTACTTGCGCCAGGTGAATTCACTAAAATTTAGCCTTGTCTGTGCAACCAATAGCAACACTGTGATTATACTTGTACTGTGCGCTTAGCCTGACTCGTGTTCAATAGAGTTTTCTTAGTCTGTGGTATGTGCTACTGTCCTTAGATTTACACAGTAGGCTAAGCCGTCTCTGTGCACAAAGTGCTCCTCCTTAGATTTAGCTGAGAATGTTACACGAGGTGTCAGTGTCTCTACACGTGGCGAGTGGCTTTGTCTTGCAGCTACAGAAGAACTTGGGTAATAAGAATTTTGTTTGTTAGTCAGTATGCAGACAGATGTTGCATGCAAGCAACACCGAGCCATAAATCATTGTATATCGAACCATGAGGTTCCTCTCGTGGCCAGGAGAGAGATTAAATTAAGTATGAAAAGTTTTGAGAACGAATGACTTTCCTCGCTGCATGTTGCTTGTGCTTGGTCTATGTTGCGTTATTCAACAAGTCTAGTGAGCACTTTTCATGTGCTGGATTACTCCTCTTGTGTCGTACGTCAACAATATTTGTTTCTTTTTTCCTTTTCTGTGCAGTGTGGCCACAACCAGCCTTTAGTGTATCATCAACGTATGTAGATTTGAACTTGCCAGCTGCCAGTCAGCCATCCTCCACAAGATACGTTATCTATGTTCAACGACCAGGGGAACAATCGTTTACTTTCTTCGGATCTTATCCAGGTAAGCACTTTAATATTTTTCCTTATCATCTATCTTGTAGCTAACTGTCTACCAAGCTGAACCCTGTAGTATGTGGACTTCTCTACCAATTGTTCCTGAAGCGTTGTCTTGGCTGTAGACTCATGGTCTGTCTTGTCATTGTTTTTTGTGGTGTTATTTGCAGCATCTCCGAGTATCAGTATCCAGAGGATTCCAATGTCTCCTGGTCAGACATATCAGTTTGTTATTCGCTCAGTTGTCAATGGAGTCAACTCACCCCAGAGTGTACCCATCTCTGTTACTGCCCGTGAGTATTTTGCTGTCACAGTTTCCTTCTGACATGCTCTGTACAGCACATCCTGGACCTAGACAGTATTGACTTGCTGGAGAATACACCTGTCGGTTTATGTTTGCTGTCTGCTTGCCTCTGCGCTCAATAAGTAATGTTGATCGTGTGCCATTCATTTAATAGGCAAGTGTAGATAATCAATCTAGACGAATCTATTTACACACTGCTGGGAACAGAATCGAGTAAGTTGTATGTTGTGACTCGGAGTTTCATGCTTAGTTTACCGTCCGACAACAATGAACCCCATCTCTTTTGATTTATTTTCTTCTATACAGGAGATACCACTGGACCAGGAACACAGTCTCCTGGTGATGGTGCACCAGGTACGTTATTTAAAAGTGTTTTTGTTGTTAATCCTGTTATGCTAGCTGTTCTCTCTTCTTCACCTGCTTCTCCCTTTCTGACTTCATTTGTTAGTTTTACATTCATTTTACCAGTAACCTTTTCCGCACTTCATATATTACGTAAATCAGTTACTAAGTCTGCGGAACTGTTTCTTGTGCCCTTTTTGTACACAGTGTGGCCGGAACCATCGTTCAGCGTATCGTCAACCTACGTGGATTTGAACCTACCAGCCAGCAACCAGCCCTCTGCACGATATGAATTGTTCATCCAGCGTCCTGGAGAGCAGTCGTTTGCATTCTTTGGTTCTTATGATGGTAAGTGCCAGACATGCAGCATTGCTCTGAGTAGCGTGAAATGTGAGAATGATGTCCTCTTCTATAAGCAACCTTTGTTCTGCACTGATCTCCGCCATCCTATATTTTAAAATTATTCTGCTCTTCTCCTTCCGTGCAGCCTCTCAAAGTGTCACAGTGCAGAGAGTGACTCCGCTGCAGCCTAGTCAGACATATCAGTTCAGTATACGATCAGTTGTGAATGGTGTACCATCACCAATCGGTGCCCCAATCACTGTTATTACCAGTAAGTTAATTTAACCAATTATTGGGTGCTGTTGAGAACTTTGAGTATGCTCATATTGCTCATTATGCTCATATTGACATACTGCCTGTATTTGTGTGCAGGTGTTGAGGGCAGCTCTCATTGTTCACTCTTGTGTGCACTGTTTGTTCAGGTGATGGAACTGAACCATCGACATCATCTCCAGGGCTACTTGCACCAGGTAAATTCCCTAAATTCCCTAAAATTTAGCCTTGTCTGTGCAACCAATAGCAATGCGTATTTAACCTGACTCGTGTGTACAAGCAACACAGAGTCATAAACCAGTTTATATTTATCCAGCAGCTTCCTCCCATGGCCTGAAGTACCTTAATGTCAAAATCACTCTACATACAACAGGAAAAGAGGAAAATTAGGTGCCAAAACGAATAGCGTACCTCTTTCCATGTTGTTTATGCTGGCTCTATTTCTGGCTCTATTTCTGGCTCTATTTCGCGTTATTTAGCGCTTTTCATGTGGTGGGTTGCTCCTTTTGTGTCGTATGTCAACAATATTTGTTTCTTTTTCCTTTTCTGTGCAGTGTGGCCACAACCAGCCTTTAGTGTATCATCAACGTATGTAGATCTGAACTTGCCAGCTGCCAGTCAGCCATCCTCACAATATGTGATCTATGTTCAGCGACCAGGAGAGCAATCGTTTACTTTCTTTGGATCTTATCCAGGTAAGCACTTTAATTTATTTCCATATTATCTATCTTTTAGCCAACTGTCTACCAAGCTGAACCCTGTAGAATATGGACTTCTCTACCAATTGTTCCTGAAGTGTTGTCTTGGCTGTAGTCTCATGGTCTGTCTTGTCATTGTATTTTGTGGTGTTATTTGCAGCATCTCCGAGTATCAGTGTTCAGAGAGTTCCAATGTCTCCTGGTCAGACATATCAGTTTGTTATTCGTTCAGTTGTCAATGGAGTCAACTCACCTCAGAGTGTACCCATCTCTGTTACTGCCAGTAAGATTGCGTCTAGCTCTATTTCTACCCGTGTGTGTGTGTGTGTGTGTGTGTGTGTGTGTGTGTGTGTGTGTGTGTCTGTGTGTGTTTGTGTGTGTTCGTGTGTGTGTGTGTGTGTTTGGCTATGAATTTGTGCATCTTGCTCACACTATCCTCCACAGAAGAGCAAGAAGCCATCTAGAAACTTGCAATTAGCATGGGTGTTCTTGATTCAAATGGGCTCTTTGCTGAATGTTGTGTGGTTATCTTTCTTTCTAGGGGATTCCGACGGTCCTTCAACAAAATCCCCATCTGCGCCAGCACCCGGTAGGTTTTATGCACCTAAGATGTCTTATTGTCCTGCGCAAATTCTCTCTCATTGTTTCTCTCATTCTCTTCTCCAGCTTATTGCACGTACCGTCCCATGTTTTCCAAGATTAACTAGTTTGAATTGTCCCTGGGGATTCCATAACGAATGTGTGTGAACATCCTGTACTGTGCTTGTTCTCAACCATACAGTTTGGCCACAGCCAGCCTTTAGTGCCTCTTCCACGTATGTAGAGTTGAATCTACCAGCGGCCAGCCAGCCCTCCACGCAGTACCTGATCTACATTCAACGTCCAGGAGAACAATCCTTTTCTTTCCTGGGGTCATATCCAGGTGAGCGGCAGCTCTTAATTTGGCATGGCTTGGCCTTCGTGTTTTCAAGGATACTTGCTGCTGTGGCGGGTTAATTGGCGTCTTTGCCTTGACTCTGGTATTGCCTGTCATACGTACAGTCATAGTTCGTAGCATACATGCATTACATTGCACTAGTGAGTGCATCCTCTGTGTACCTTACGCTATGTTGCATGCGATGCAATTGTTCTGGTACCGGCTTATTCACGCGGTCATCTTCCGACTCACCCATAATTCACTTCACAGGTGACATGGCTATAGGTCGTGATGTGATGGCTGCACCAATACAGATCTTATGTGTGCAATGATATCTATTTCATCACATGCGTGTTTTACTGCTACAGACCACTGTGGAATACTCCTATGCTCACTGTCTTGCTACTTTCTCTCTCTCTCTCTCTCTCTCTCTCTCTCTCTCTCTCTCTCTCTCTCTCTCTCTCTCTCTCTCTCTCTCTCTCTCTCTCTCTCTCTCTCTCTCTCTCTCTCTCTCTCTCTCTCTCTCTCTCTCTCTCTCTCTCTCTCTCTCTCTCTCTCTCTCTCTCTCTCTCTCTCTCTCTCTCTGTTGTGTTGCTAGGCTCTTCAAGTGGCTCTGTGCAACGGATTCCACTGTCGCCTGGTCAGACATATCAGTTTACTATCGAGTCGAGCGTCAATGGTGTCCCTTCAGCTCAAAGTGTTCCCATCACAGTTGTTACCAGTAAGATCATGTGTACCAGTTCTGATTTGTGGCTGCTCACCACATGGGTGTGTGTGTGTGTGTGTGTGTGTGTGAGGGAGGGGGGTATGTGTATGTATGTGTGGGAGGGGGTATGTATGCATGTGTTTGTGTCTACTCGCGAGTGTATGTATGCGCATAAGTATATCCAGGGAGTATATTTCTCCTTGCGCCGAAGTGTGAAAGGCATCAGAACAATGGTCAACGGAATAATGAATTGTCAGGTTGGTGAATAAATTTTCGTGCTAATCATTTTCTTGCGTGTCTCCAGGTGGTGGCACAGAACCATCCACGACTGCCCCTGCACCTGAAATTCCAGCACCAGGTATGCCATACCCTTGTTATTCTAAGATATCTTCGCCACTTTACTTATATGCTTGTTTGCAGCATGTTTTCATCACTTATTTCTTGGCTGTGATGGTGGGGGAGGGGGGAGGGGGGAGGGGGGGGGGGGGAGAGCTGGGTGTACATGACATTGTACATGTATATCTAAAGGTCTTGTGCACCGCATTCTGGGAGTGACTCGGCTTGTATCGTCGATAGGGTGCCATGATTGGAGTGATCTTCTAATTCAGGACTAGTTTCTCTTCCAATCCTACCACCGTCTTTTGCAGTATGGCCACAACCAGCCTTCAGCGTGTCTTCAACGTACGTGGATTTGAACCTCCCGGCTGCCAGCCAGGCTGCAACTCGCTATGAAGTATTCATACTCCGTCCCAACGAGCAGTCATACTCTTTCTTTGGTATCTTTGATGGTGAGTCCTAAGTCGTGCTGTCAGGCCACTTATGAAAGACACTGGCTCTCTGTTTGTAGAGCACTATTATCATATCTGCACTATTATCATATCTGCACTATTATCATATCTGGGCCATATCAGCCAGTTGTATCATGAGAATTACTTTCTTGCAGAAATTTGATCGGAGAACCGATTTGAATATGTTAACAGAACTTGGCACACTCACACATCCGCACGCACATGCACACACACACACACACACACACACACACACACACACACACACACACACACACACACACACACGCACGCACGCATGCGCGCGCGCACACACACACACACACTCTCTCTCTCTATTTCTCTCTCTGTCTCTCTTTCTTTCTTTCTCTCTCTCTTTCTCAACTTACCTAGTTTGAATGCAATATTTGCATGTTGGCATGGTTGCTGAAGAGGCAAAAGTAGCAAGGTTCTATTTATTCATCAGTTGAGGTCGTTCTATTTGTTTGTGCTTCTCCAGCATCTGCAAGTGGCTCAGTACAACGAATCCCACTGGCACCTGGGGAAACATACCAGTTTGTCATCCGATCCAGTGTGAATGGAGCTACATCATCGCAGAGTATTCCTATCACTGTAGTGGCAGGTAAGTTACACTTATAATATTTATTAAGAACATTCTGAAGTTCTAGAGGTATTGTGCATGAGTTCCGGTTGGGACCTCCGCCGGCGTTTTTGAAGTCGGTTTAGCAGCATGCAAGACTAATGTCATTATTTTTGTTTATAGTTATTCTTACGCGTTCCACAAGAAGGCAAGCCTCAACAAGTTGAACCGAAATTTTTTAGAGCTGAGCAACTTGCACCTTGCCTCATTTGTAAATATTCCAAACCGATTTTTTGCCTGATTTGGCAAATGGTCATCACCCCGTTTGTACATGCGTCCAGTCGCACGAATTGACACCAGCTGGTCTGAAGCCCCCTTATTACAGGACTAGCAAAACGTGCGCTTTCAAATCTAGCTTTGATCATACACACTGTTGCTTGTAAGACGTTGGTAAGCAGCCATCGCGGTGCGGACCGTACCCATATTATCTCTGTGTGTATTTGTGCTATTTTCTCGCAAAAGGTGATAGTATGGAGTCAACAATGCCACCTTCTCCCACTGTACCTGCACCAGGTAGGATTGTGTTGATTGCCCTTGCCCGTGGATATTCACAATTTCACTTCATGTATCTGTTGGCCTACAAGTATTGCTCCAAGCACCCCTGTCTTACTTCTGCAGTATGTGCCATTATTTTGTTCAGTGGTGTGGTGATCTTGACGTAGTGTTTGCTGCGATCCATGGTCAATGGCTTGCACTCTAGCTCACTCGCCCTCTCTATCTGATCCGTATTGCTGCTGCTGCTGCTACTGCTGCCCCGCCGCCGCCGCTGCTGCTTCTGCTGCTCTGAATAGTATGGCCCAAACCGGCGTATCGAGTTACCTCAAGCTATGTTGATCTCAACCTTCCACCATCATCAAGTCAGAGTTCAACGGAGTATGATTGTTATATCCTGCGACCTGGCCAGGCTGCCTTTGTGTTCTTGGCTACCTATCAAGGTATGTATTGTAGAATAATAATTATACCTACCTGTAAGTGAGTGTCTCACATGCTTTTTATCAGTATTTAGGCAGTAGTTATATTTTCGTATAGATTGGCCCAGTTCATCTCAGTGTAAACTCAATCCTCTCTGATCCGCTTATGTTGGGACTGGACGGTGTATGCAGCACACTACATGCATATACCATGTGACGCGTAGCTGCACAGAGCATTAGATGGTGCACACTTAGAGTATACATGTATCAGTAATCCTACTGCTGACTGAGCCCAGAAAGGTGCGCGGTAGATGTTTAGGTGATCGAATTATTTTGGGAGGGCCGGGTAAGAGAGAGTTGAATATACGCTATGTGTGTACTCGTATGTGCTTCCATTGTCCACGGGAGCTTTATCTGAAATGTAAGTACAGCGTGGTGACTGACTGCATCGTGTGATACCACATCACCTTCTTGCTTGCGCTGTTCTTCATGTCTTTAGCATCTGCAACCGAGATCACTGTTCAACGTGTTCCTCTGGAACCAGGACAGACGTATCGCTTCAGGCTGCGCTCACGCGTTGGTGGAGCTGTGTCTGCTGACAGTGTTCCCATCACGGTCAACACGGTATCAGTAGCTGATAAAGGTACAGTAACACTCAGTGTGCTAGCCCAGCCACCTCCATAGCGTGTCCCCGAGCATACCGGTACATTTTGACCATTCAGTGTGCTAGCCCAGCCAGACCCATAGCGCGTCCCCAAGCATACACATATCTTGACCTGTGTACAGTGGTGCATGTGCGCACTCTGCCTCTCAGTGTGCTAGCCCAGCCAGACCCATAGTGCGTCCCCAAGCATACACATATCTTGACCTGTGTACAGTGGTGCATGTGCGCACTCTGCCTAGTCTCAGTGTGCTAGCCCAGCCAGACCCATAGCGTGTCCCCGAGCATACATACAGTGCTGGAAACTGAAATCCGACGCCCTAGCGGTGCGTTCACTTTCTAGCGGTCTCTGTTTCGTAGTTTTACCATCCCGTGTTGGGTCTTTACGATGTGAGCGCACCGCTCAGGGGTCGGATTTCAGTTGCCAGCACTGTACATCTTGACCTGTGTACAGTGCCAGTGGTGCTTGGTGAAATCCAAGCCCTGGAACTGAGCACGTGTCTGTATTGCAGGGGCGGTTCGGGGGGGGGGGGGGGGGGGGTTCGGGGGGTTCGAACGAACCCCCCTGATTTTTTCCGACCATAGTTCAGGTTTGACCACTAACCCATGCTATGGCGCAGTCGGCCCAGGCCGGAGCGGTCCGCTAGCTATGCAGCTTGGTAGTACTAGTACATTGTTGTCTTGTACGTAGATCTACCATTGTACTGTAGTAGATACAAAGTACATTGTTGTCTTGTACGTAGATCTACCATTGTACTGTAGTAGATGTAGTGAGCTGGCCGGAATGTAATGATTACTGGAATGACAAGAGACTATAACATACAGCAGTGTGAATGTAGCACATCATGCAGGTGTGAGTACGACACATGCAGTGATGTGTAGAATGCAACATATGACAGCTAGGTGGTGTAAGAACAACGCAGTCACTATCACTACATCACTCCTTCTCCCAAACAAAAAGCCGGTGCCGGGGAAAGCAATAGAAGGAATTAAATAAAGAAGAAGAAGAGAGAACATAATATGAAGTTTTGAATTTCAAAGCACCCAATGGAGGAAGATAGGAACTCAACTTCAAAAAACACAAAAAGTTGTCAAGTTGAACTTTCAGAGTGAGTATGATGCATTGTTGCAATAATCTTTTAGGATAAACTGTCTGAGTAGAGCCGTGCCTTCTCAGTAAATTTGATATGCCGTCCGGAGCGAGTGACTGAACCATCGACGAATGAGCGCTTGCCGGAAGCAGCTGGAGTGTGTTCCTTCGAAGCAGGCTGGCTTTCACGTGCAGATGAAGGTTGAGAGAGTGGCATGTTGTGGCATGGCGAGCCCGGAGGCAGATCCACAGACGGTAGACATGCCGAAACAGCACCTGGCACTGTAGACTGACCAATCCGAGCAGACTGTCCAGTTCCGGTTCTATCTGGTTCTGGCACTGAAGGCTGACCGATCCGAGAAGCCGCCTGTGCTGGCGCTCGCTCAAGGTCCACCTCATGACGGCTGAAAGACGGGTTCGCTGACGACATGGGTGGAGAATCGTCCGGGCGATGCGGTGAAACAAACTCTCGTACATGCTGCCTATTCCTCAGTAGGTAGCGAGAGCCATCGGTCACTCCTACCTGACGGCCGAACTGGTTCACCACGGTCCATGACTGAGACTTGTCGCAGTACCCGTCCTGCACAGTGACTTTTGTGCCGGGCCGAAGCTCAGAAAGCATTCTCACGCCACGTCGGGAGTCGTGTTGTGCAGACATTTCAGCTTTTGCTTTCAGCTGGTGCTGGGGATTCACAACGGTGGGGTGCAGTTGTGCCGGGACTCTTGTACGCAGTGGTCGAGAGAACAAAGCTTCACTTGGTGATGTACCGAGCATTCTATGCCTCGAACATCGAATGTCAAACAACACTTGGTTAAGACGCCTCTGGAAAGGGAGATGTGGCTTAAGAGCAGACAGTCTCTCCCTTAACACTCGATGCAGACGCTCCACCATGCCATTCGAGCGGGCATACCTTGGGCTGGATCGTACATGTGTAATTGTAAGCCGGCTGAGAAATGAAGACATCTCCCCAGAGACAAACTGAGGGCCGTTGTCCGAAACTAAAGTCTCGGGAAGACCAAATGCAGAGAATACCTCATCAAGTTCATTGATGACGGAAGCTGAGGTTGTCGAGCGCATTATCTTCAGAATAGGGTACCTGGAGCCATAATCGACTATGGAGAGAATCGAGTACCCCTCAATGGATACGATGTCCACTGCCAGCTTTCTCCAGACGCCAACAACCTCAGTCGGTTGGAGCTCTTGCGCATTATTGGTACGTCTCCTCCAGCATTCAGAGCAGCGTTCCACGTATGTGCTTGCATCCTTAGTCATTCCTGGCCACCAGACTCTCTGGCGCAGGGTGTCTTGGAAGGCCTCTTGTCCAGGATGTCCTTCGTGTGCTAGGGTCATGATCGCTGTTCGTAAACCTTCAGGAATAACGAATCTGCCACCGAACATTAAGATGCCATCTACCACTGTCAGCTGATCACGGACGAGATAGTAGGGGTGCTCCGGTGGCAAAATGTCAAGCCACGAATCATACAGTACGCGTTGAATCACTTTGCTCACTACTGGATCATCTTGTGCAGCACAACGAATGTCTGCAATGCCTACTGGAGCGGCTTCCAAAACTAGGCCAACATACTCATGGAGAGAACGCGATTCGGCTGGAGAAGCATCAGTAGACGCTACCGGGGCTCTGGAAAGTGCATCAGTACAGAAGAGCTCCTTCCCTGGAACATGCTTGAGGGAGTAATCGTACGGCATGAGCGCGACTAACCAGCGCTGCAATCGAGGCGGCACATCGTCAAATGCCTTCTGCACAATCGGTATGAGAGGTTTGTGATCAGTGTACACCTGTACATGACGACCCAGAACATACTGGCGAAAACGGGTCAGTGCAAACACTATGCCGAGCATCTCGCGCTCCATCTGCGAATATCGGGACTCTGTGTCCGTGAGCGTGCGGCTGGCGCATGTAATGGGCAGCCATTGTCCAGCCTTGCTTTGCTGCCACAGAATAGCTCCCAGACCAGAAGGTGAGGCATCGGAGCTGATTGCTGTCGGTACGTTTACATCCGGCTGGAAATATGCAAGTGTTTGCAATGAAGAGACTACAGCTTGCTTAGCTGTGGAGAACGCTTTGAGAAGATCATCGTTCACAGTGAATGGTTCACGCTTCATCAGCTGGCGTAACGGCTCTGTGGCTTCAGTCAGGCGAGGAACAAACTTTCCTAAGTATGTGACCATACCCAAGAAGCGGTGTGCATCCGCTACAGTCTTTGGGGCGGCCATGTCGGCGATAGCGCTTAGCTTGCTGCTGTCCGGCTGAACTCCATCTCTGGTCAACGTGTGGCCCAGGTACTTGACCTGGTCTTTGCCGATGTGACACTTGGCCCAGTTCAGCTTGAGGTTTGCTGCCTTCAGGCGTTCCAAGACACTCGCCAGGCGAGCATCATGCTCAACTTGATTCCTTCCGAAAATCAATATGTCATCTATGTAGACAACAACACCCGGCAGGCCAACTAGAATATCCGACACCACTCGCTGAAAGATTTCGGGGGCGCATGAAATACCAAACGGCAGTCTCTTGAATCGATACGATCCACAGTGTGAAGCAAACGTTGTAAACGATCGCGATTCTTCCTCCAGTAACAGCTGGTGGAATCCCGATTCGGCATCCAACACTGAGAATACTTGTGCTCCTGCTAACTCGCTGGTTATTTCGTCTACCGTAGGGAGAGAATGGCGTTCTCTAATGATGGACTTATTCAGCTGTCTATAATCCACACATAACCGGAGTGTACCGTTAGACTTACGGACAGGCACAACAGGCGAGACCCAAGGCGATGCCTCCTTCACGGGCTCAATGATGTCAGCCTTAGCCAGGCGTGCCAACTCCTTTTCTATGTCGGCTTTGGCGCTAAATGGAGGGCGGCGAGCTGGTTGGGCTACCGGTCTAGCGCTCTTGTCCACAGTGATAGAAACTGGAGCAGTTTCAACAAGACGTGCTGTATCCGCCACGTGTGCATTCACAAGCAGTTCCAATTGTGAGATGACATCTTGTCCAAACAATACAGAACGCTTGCCAGCCGGTACAACGAAACATTCACAGAGAATGGTGTTGTCTCCTACAGCAATATCGACGTCCGCCATGCCAAGAGTCTTCACTTCGCCACCGTTGTATGCTCGAAGTATGCGGTCACTTGAGCGGGTAGGCTGCACCACATCATCCGTGAGAATGGTGCGTGTTGCTCCGGTGTCAAGCAATCCCTCACATGGCTTGCCATTCACCATCAGTGTCATGGTGAACTGGCCTCTGGCTGCCTTATCGCTGCACGCGAAAATAGAATCATACACCACTTGTGCAGTGTCACTGTCTTCCTCTGCATCTACTGCATTGGCTTTGTTAGGCTTGCGTGAGAGACAAACCGCTTCGAAATGGCCAACTTTCTTGCAGCTGTTGCAACGGACATGTGCTGCTGGGCAGAACTGCTTTCCATTGGCATGCATTCGACCACAGTACTTGCAGCCAGGACCTTTCGTCATTTTCCTCTTGAGCTGGTGCTTGGGTTCACTGCCTGACACAGCCGCTGTGGTCTCTGGCTTCACACATGCTGCTACACTAGGTCCTGGTTCACTGTTGTACAAGTTGGAGTCCAAAAGTGATGCTTCCATAGCAACTGCCTTCGAGAGAGCGTCCGCCAAAGTCAGCTTAGGCTCCTTCAATAGTTCGCGCCTCGAGTCTTGCGACCTCAATCCAGCAATTAACTGGTCGCGGACTTGAGTATTGACTACCGTGTCAACATCTGTCGATGCGAAACTACACAATTCCACTTTCTCCCTCAGCCGACTCATGAAGGTTGAAACCGATTCGTCCGGCAGCTGCCTAATCTGACGAAACTTGTGCCGCTCTGACGTCGCATTGATGGACGGTCGAAAATGGCAACGAAGTGACTCAGTGAGGGCTTTGTAAGTGTCTCCCGGGTTATCGTCAGTTGCATCGTCTGGAACGGGAACGACTAAACCTTTGACGATCCTCCTGACATTGAGACCGGCGAGATTCAAGAAGAGGCACTTCTTTTCTCCTGGGTCCGTCACTTGGCAGATCTTCATATAATCATCGACATCTTCTAGCCAGAGATTGAAGTCTGCGCCCGTATCTCCACCATAGCCAGGAGAAAATTCTTTCGGAGGTCGTCCCTTTGCCATAGCGTCAAGTTGCTTGAGCTGTTCACTGCGCCAGTGTAGTGAGCTGGCCGGAATGTAATGATTACTGGAATGACAAGAGACTATAACATACAGCAGTGTGAATGTAGCACATCATGCAGGTGTGAGTACGACACATGCAGTGATGTGTAGAATGCAACATATGACAGCTAGGTGGTGTAAGAACAACGCAGTCACTATCACTACAGTAGATACAAAGTAAAGTAGATCCGCACTGAAATTATACAGCTACATAGACCTACCGGTATGCGTTCGGTTCGGAGAAAGAGGCGCACTTGTTGAGCTGCTACGGAAACTTCGAAAGTAAGTTTCAAATACTGGTTTCTGAATGGTGCGGTGCCGTTGCGGCTCGTGCTTTTCGAGCTGTCTTAGAGTTCGTCCAAGCGTCTAAAAGAGGCAGGCTCAAGACCAGCTGCCCTTGAATTTTGGTGACACTCCAAAGAAAAGTGTAGCCACTAGTGTCGAAGGTAAAACACAGAGCGAGACTTTGAAAATCACGTTCAAGTAATTAGTTCAACCTCCCATCATCCAATTCATTGCATTCCCAACTCATCACAACCACGCGCTCTTCAGCCGAACCATACAGACACCAGCAAGGACACTTCCGTTGAGAGATAATATTGCTCCACGCCTCTAGACAGCTGTTTCGCTCCCTGTCGGAGCTCATCAGTAGAGGATGATAATGATGATAATGGAGGAATGATCATTCTTATACACCAGAAATGGCGCAAGTGCGCGCTTTCCACATATATCAATGGCATATGCAAGCTGCTAAAATGGTAAAGTGTGAGAACAGCGATAAATCCCATCATCCAATAATAACATTTTCCCCGAACTGGGGACAATGCAAATGAGTCAATGACTAAGACACGGAAGATGCAGGAAGCCTACCTTTTGGAACCTACTCTACATACTTCTGAAGTACCAGTATATTGGAATCAACATTGGGTGGCTCGGAGTACAATATGACGGACAATTATTATAGACGAGCTGCTGGAGAAAAGTACCAATCAGCTATTCTGCGGCAAAGACATTGAATGAAAAATTTTCCTTGTGGCGCGCATCTTCTATAATGTCACGCAAACGTGCACTTTTATACATGTAAATTATATGTCATCATTTCGTCAGTGTGAATAGGGTGGGAAAAAATTGAACCTCCTTGGAAAAATCCTGGATCCGCCCCTGGTATTGTTCTGCTGACCTCGTGGACAGCATGTGCACATCCCATGGTTGCTTATGAACGGGTCAACTTGTAAAAAAAAGGTGGCGCTCTGGGTTCGCGCAGGCCCGGCACTGCAATGCTCGTAACAATGCACTGCCTTGATGGAATTGGATGAAATTTTCTACAGTTGTTCAACACACGGGTCTGCTTTTGAGCCTTCCAAGTTCCAAGTTGAAAGATTGTTGGTCTGCGCTTCGTAGATGTGTTGGAGCTAGGTGTCAGGTCGTCGAATATCTCAATATCTTTGTTAGTGTTGTACCTTGTTGTCGCACTATCTGACTGTATCTCGTTACCTTGGTGGACTGTTAGTCATAACTAGTAACTGATGGGTCCATTTCTCTTTACATATTACGATTGGCTCAACATCTGAGTTTTTATTAAGGATATTATTTTGGAATATTTTGGAATGTACCAGAATTTACCAGATATGCCTCACCTTCAAAGCTTTATAACTCAGGGATGGGATGTCCAATTGACCTCAAATTGTTTCTACATGTTTCTGGACATTGTCCGATCATGATGGTATTCATACAGTGTGTGCGTGGTTGTGGCATGCACAATCTGTAAAGCTGAGATGCAAGGAACCGATTTCACCTAGCACCACGGGAAAGATGTGACCTGTGTCCTGTGTGTTAGGGTTGGTTCACATTTCGCCGGTACGCGCCGGGAGTCATCGGGAGTGGGCCTCTTGCAACCTCTCCCGGCACATTGCGATTATGTGAACCAGTGCAGTCGTAACAAAATCATTATGGTAAAATATCGCAAGAGACCGCCGGCAAAGTTGGACAGTGGCCAACTCTTGCGATCTGCCCCGGCGCCGATCACATACAATTTTGGCCAAAAGTGGTTTGTGAACCGTTCGCGCCGGTGATCGCCGGTGCCGGGAGCCAGACTTTGTCAAAATTTCAAACCAAGACTCATCCTAAATTTTCCTAAATAATTGAAGCAGATGAGGTCCGTTCGCCATTCTTGTAGTCGTTTCAAGGTGGCAAATTAAATCAGCATACCAACCCGTCCTTCCAGGATGATCTGCTTGACTGTTGTGCAACTTATGCGACAAATACAATTGAAATAAATGAAAAATACGAAGGATACATAGACAAGTTCGTGTGACTTCATCAACGCTTGCACGCATAATTTCGACACCACCGCTTACTAGACTGCAATAAGAGGTGTAGAAGTAGTTTCATGGTCTCCAGTAAAAGGTAGCACCGAGTGGCCATCACCGAAAGACCTTGAACTACTGAAGAAACAAAGAATTGAAGCTTCAATTGGCAAACCTGTCGTAGCATTTGGGCACATTCTGTACTACTTTTGTAGTAGATTTGGTACTCGAACCGTATGCGCAACGGATCGGGAGCTGGCTCACCGCTGATGTCTTGCGATGTCTTGCGGCGCCGATTTTGCTTATGTGAACCAACCCTTAGGTGAATGTGTCGATATGCCATGGGCGTTTGTATTTAGCGCTTTCGGGTGTTATTATTTATTTTTCTTATTTTCGCACTAAATTATTATTTTTTGGCTAATACGTTTAGTGTGCATCATTAAAAATATATATATATTATTATATACCCAATGCTGTAGACAGCAAGCTGTTTCGGCCATAAAGGCCTCATCAGTACAGCTACGAGCTAAATAGGCCGAGCTACCAGCCATGGTGCAAAGGAGGCACCACAGACATTAAGGTAGCTCGTCGCTCTAGCGCCAGAGTGCTCAAACTACAAAATGTAGCGGGCATTGTGCGATGCAGCAGCACTAGAGCAGCCTACTGAGAGTGCTCAACAAGGCGAAAGCCGAGGAGCGTGATACCCAATGCTGTAGACGGCAAGCTGTTTCGGCCATAAATGCCTCATCAGTACAGCTACGAGCTACCAGCCATGGTGCAAAGGAGGCACCACAGACATTAAGATATATATATATATATAACTTGGAGATCCTTTGTGTCTGAGTGTATATATATATATATATATATATGCCATGGGCTGGTTGTTATTGTAGATAAGTGACCTGGCCTGCTGCCAATAGACTGTTGGCTGCAGTATTGCAGGTGTTACTAAACTAGGGTTTCTACTACCTTCGTGTGATTTTAGATTTGAACTTGGATTTCTGCGCCGACCCTGGTGTACCTGCAAACGGCCTGCGGACAGGAAAGAAACCGTTTGTCGAAGGCGCAGTCGTGCTGTACCGCTGTTTCCAGAGCTTCACAATGCTGGGAGCTGCTACACAGCGATGTCAAGCTGATGGTACTTGGTCTGGTTCACGACCAACATGCAGCAAAGGTACACACTACAGCTAGTACATGTACTTTCATGTACTTAGTAACAGTTGCTTCTCTCGCTCTCTCTCTCTCTCTCTCTCTCTCTCTCTCTCTCTCTCTCTCTCTCTCTCTCTCTCTCTCTCTCTCTCCCTATGAACATTCCGCAAAATGGCAGTGGTCAGTACACAAGTAGAAAACCCTTGGTGACACTGAATACACAGGTGTCCCACTTTGGCACGCTGATGATGTTGGACATCCACTGCCACTGGTTACTGCTGATCAGGTGGAGCTGTATAACGTGACTGAGTTTCTTTGTCATGGCACTTTGTTTGACTTTTCTTGCTGGGCATGTGCTTTGCTTACGACTCGTAGGTGGCAGCATTGCATCTCCCCCAACCCGGTCCACAGTCGTGTATGGAGAGTACAGTGCATGGTCTGCATGGGAGTGCTCAGTGACCTGCGGCCAGGGCGTGCAAGTACGTCGCCGAACATGCCAGAAATCCTCTCCAGAGCAGACCTGCCACGGCCCGGCTGTGGAGAACGGTGTGTGTCGCAAGGCAGCATGCTCGGGAAACACTAACGGGGTCGATCATGGACAAGCTATTCTGCCTGGTAAGTCTCTTCAACAGATTTCTGTCTTTGCTCATCAGATATAGAACTATAGATGGGTGAGCACATGGTGATGACAACCATAGGAGGCTCTGTGTGGTCTCACTGCTAGTTCTGTCCATAGTCCTATGCCTAAACATGACGAGGCGGGGGGGGGGGGGGAGGGGAGGGGAGGGGGAGGAGGGGGGGGGGGGGGGGGCCTGGAGGATGGGTGAAGAGGAACAAGAACAAAAGTGAAAAATAAAATAAAGAACAATAGTCGTGAAATGTTGGCATGTTCGACATCAGACTTATACACCCTGGCAGGTTGTTGACAATGATGCCAGCCGCAGAGACCCAGAGGTGATGGCAGGTGGTGAATTGTTGTCCGTGTAGTGATGCTGGAGTGACTGTGTGTCCGTGTAGTGATGCTGCAGCACATTGTTGTAGCCCATCATGGTCAGCAGGGAGTCATAGCGTCTGGGAAAACAACATGAGCCAGTGAAATGCAAAGCAATGTGGACTCCGCTCCTGGACTACCCATTACAATTACCCTTGGGACGGGGCTGGTTTTTAGCACTGTCGCACATGGCATCACTGGTCTGGGCCGCTTTTGGGATCAGCAGGACGTGGCTGTGATTGCAGCCAAGTGTTATAGACCACAGATCACATACATGTAGAAGTTCCCAATCCAGGGTCCAACATGTACACTGTGCCGGGTACAATAGTCTCGTGTTGTTTCCCTAGATGCCATGACTGCCTGATAGGCGGCACACTTTATAAATGAGCTGGTGGCTGTGTCTTGCCTGAGCAATAACGTTATCTTGCTGCCTGGTGCTGAGACGACGGCCTGCTGGTGCTGCTTTAAGTGGTGGGAGGAGAGCCCTGTTCTGCAGGGGGGGGGGATGCATGACATTGTAGCTTGTACAGACAGAAGAGTGCGCCCAGGGAATGACGAGCTTCTTGGGAGGACAGGTATTACAAAAGTCAAGTTTGGCGAAAAAGTCTTAAAAGTTGAAACAGTAGCGGGGTTACGTCCACAGTGTCACCTTTTTGTATGTAAGTTAGTCCTATATACAGTCAGACCTCGCTTATCCGGTCCTCGTTTATCCGGATCCCTCGCCATCCGGAAGAAAATCGCTGGTTACCGATGTGCAGCATATGTTATGCATACAACATAACCGGACCTCGCGATCCGCATACCGGTGCATGATTTTGTGTACAAACTGGTTAAAATGTGTGCAAAAAGCTTCGTCGTATCCGGTTGCATGTGGCTTCCAAAAGCTAGAATCAGGGAGTTGCACCGGCAAATGAGGTCCTTGACCTGCTGGGTGCATGTGGACAGGACTTAGTTGCATGCACTTGTCATTTTTCTCGCTTGTTTTACATACTGTGCACGATAGTTGTACTGCATAGGACCCGTCTACATGTATGTACGATGTCACTGCTTTTGACATGCCACATGCATATACAGTATGTGTGTTCAGTTATCCGGTTCCCTCGCCTATCCGGATATTTTTGTGGAAAACAGATGTGTGCGGTTAAGCGAGGTCTGACTGTATAAACAAGACCATATTGTGTGTGTGTGTGTGTGTGTGTGTGTGTGTGTGTGTGTGTGTGTGTGTGCGTGTGCGTGTGCGTGTGTGTGTGTGTGTGCGTGTGTGTGTGTGTGTGTGTGTGTGGCTTATACAGGCTGTTCGCCAGGCACTGGTACTGCTCTGGATCTGATGCTGATTGTTCACGAGCCACAGAACGCACTCTACTTCAACCAAGTGGTCAACTTCACGCGAGCTCTGCTCTCCCATGTTGCAGTGCCACCGGTGCACGTGGGCATGGTCCGCTATGGCACGCGTCCCGCTATAGAGTTTGGCCTGGCACGCCACGAGACCTACTCGTCGTTGATGTCGGCAGTGAAGCAACTCACACACTCTGTGCGCGGTGCGGCCGTTGCTACTGGCAGTGCATTGCAGAGTGCTAGGACATTGTTCTTTGAAGAAGTTGGAGCAAGGCGAGGTGCGCGCAGAGTTGTGCTTCTTATTACGTCCGCCTCATTCGACGCCGGCTCCATCCCAGGCCCGGAGGCCGATCGATTGCGTAGTCTCGGTGCGCGCGTAATCGTTGTTGGTGTTGGGAACATCAATCGTAAAGAGCTAACTGACATTGCGTCACCTTCTCAGGTACATGTCAATGAGAACATAGTTGATGTTGATGACGGTACTCAGTTACTGCCCAAGGCCCCAGCCGTGGCCCGCCTGATTTGCAGCACACCGGCATAACGGTAGCTAAACAGCACCTTGACGTTTCTTTCTCTGAATCGCTTCTCTCTCTCCTGCTGCTCCGTGCATTATGTTTGTACTACTGGCAGGCCAGTTGCTTTGATGTTCTTAAACCCTTTCTTGATCAGTAACATGAACCAACATGACTACCATACACGTGATGAGTGCTAGCACACCTAGCTTATGATAATTATAATGGCTGTGTATTTAGGGCAACTATGCCGGTGTCGCTGGCTCAAATTCGGTCAGATGTGCACTTTTCGTATTAGTTTTAGGTTTCAATGCACTTTCATGCTTCACCTGCAGCAGTTTTTTTATAAATATTTTTAAATCCATCCAATGTTTTGTTATGTTTTTGACAGTGACGAGGCATAGCTCGCTGGTTCTCAACCTGCTTGTTATTTCAGTACGTGGAGCGATTTTGGGTTTTCCCTTAACGAAAAGGCTTATCTCCAGTTCATCCTGCTCTTGGCATTTTTTGCCATGTGCATGGGGAAAATCGCAGAAGAATAGCTCGAAATTCGTGACACAATGAATTATTTGCAGGGAATTAGGGACAGTTTTTTTTGCTAAAATAAAAATAATGGCAAGTGGATTGGTTAATCTGTTACGTAAAACCCTATAAATGTACCGGTCTGCCTGCCAAAACTGCCAATTTTTTTCCTAAAGAACTCGATTATGTGATGCAACAAAACTTCAACAATTGCGTAGAATGTGCTGAAATTGCGGATTTATAAGAAGTCATCTGAGTCTGTATCCGTGGAATCGCAATTTTCCACGGGGACAGCATGTGCTATGACGTAAATGAGATAATGAAGTGAAGCAATAATTTTAGAATTACCGTATTTCCCCGAATATAAGTCGCACCTTTTTACACTTAACTTCAGGGCCAACAAAGAGGTGCGACTTATAATCGAGCATGACTAAGGGCCTGGTCAGACTGCGGCAACTTTTGGTTGCCTGACGAAAAAAGAACAACGTCCAGAATTTGAATCGCGATCACACTACACATGTGGGGAGAATGAAAATTCAAATTTCATTTCGAGCGTCAAGTGGTAATCTCCACGAACGACGTCAAATTCCTTCACCTTGGGATCGCCAACACCTTCAGTGCAATCCTTGCAACCATCCTTATGAGTTTTGTTGTTGTCCGTGGCCAATTAGCTCCTCGATATCGAGATGAAAAAATCAGTGATTATCAGCGTCAATGGCGTATCAGCGTCAAATCCTGTTTGGAGCGGAAAAGCGTGGCCCGTTCTTGCTTTTTTTTTGGAGCGTCAACTCTCGCTTTTGCCGCTCTGGCGGCAAGTTACTATGGAGATTCGGATTATAATCCTAGGATTATTTCGATTTTGCCGCAGTCTGACCAGGCCCTAACGAGGTGAATTGCTATTTCTGGACATTGTACATTTCTGGACATTTCGAGTAAAATAATTTTTCGTCGCGTGTAGAGTCAAGTCAATCAGGTTGATGAAGTTTTTTCTTGTTGCAGTTGACAGCTGGGCTGTTGTAGTTTCTCCTCGTGTCGGTGCCTTGTTGATAACCTTTTCTTGGGAGGCATTTCAACGAGTTTTGTGGTACTATGTCGCATGAGAATTTTGAATTTTGAGTAAAATAAGAAGTGATGGACGAATCGTTGGCTTCCCATGTGCACTCCACTTCAGACGCTGTATTGTCTTGGACCTGTTGGCTGGAAGCGTGAAGAGGCCAACTGCAGTCCACCAATAGAATAAATAACAAAAATGGTGCAGTATAGGATGCCTATTGACGCTATTTTACTTTCATGTCCAGAATTCCATACACTGAAATTTAGGCCAAAAAAATTGGCCTGTCGAAAACAACCTGCTATAAAATCTCTGGGACCACAGCATGAGCAATTGTCACATATTTGGAAAGATGAAGGATTAGGCCATACAATAGATACGAAAAGATATGAAAAATGTAAAACACACAGCCAGTGGGCCTCTATTTTATTTTTATGTCCAGAAATTGCTATTCACCTCGTACTGAAGTGAATAATTATCAAAACGATAATGCCATGGACCTGGAAATGGGGGGGGGGGGGGGGGGGGGTGCGACTTTAACAATGATTTACAATCGAGTGCGACCTATACCGTATTTCCGCAAATAAAAGACCGTCCTCGAATACAAGGCCGCGGCAGGGGGCGATTGAAAAAATACAAAACCGTCTCCGATTAGAAGACCGGGCCTACTACTGTAAATGAGTCTTACGACCGTGCTCAAACTGTGTAGAAGAAAATGGAAGACCGGGGGTAAAACTGTGTTGCGAAAAATAGAAGACCGGGATCAAACTATTAACTGGGTTGAAAAAAAAGACCGTCCTCAATTATAGGGCCGGGTTAGGACGAGTTTGAAAAAATAGTAGACCGGCCTACTTTTTGCGGAAATACGGTACATGTACATGCACTGTGCTGGTTAGTGGAAATATGTACCCAGACTCCAGTTCAGCACAGTGCGTTGCCGAAGTCCATAATCCATTGTATTGGTCCAAGGCAATAGGCAGTGGCGCATGGACAGTTTTTTGAATGTGTTCTTCATCCGCCATTAAAGCCCAGAGCTGACCTGACCCCGTACATGTATACCGGTATGATATATTCCCAGATGATAACACAGCCACAAACAGGCATGGCCGTCACCAAGAGTACATACTACTGGGGGTTATGTACCCTTGGCGTTACACATTCTGCAAATTTGCTGGCTCATTCACAACACTCACATTTTACACAAACGGGTATAGCGTACAAAATTCCACTGATGGAGGATTAGCACGGTGATGGGCAGTCCATAGGTTAGAGCAGTTGGGTACCGGCAATGTCACTAAAACAGGCTAAAATACTAGAAGAAAAATGTTATGATTAAAAACTGGAAACTAATTTAGTTTTTAATTTACAATTCTTCTGCATCGTGGGCTACTTCTGGTTCTGAGTTGTCTGGTCCGAATTCGTCCAGAGTCAGCAGCTGATCGTTGTTCTTGTCTTCAGCCTTGAAAATTTCTTCCACAATATCATCAATATTCTCTTCACCTTGGAAGCCTCCCTGACTGTTGAGGTATATCTTGATCTCTTCCTTATCGATTCCACCACTGTTGTCCTTATCCATTCCCTTGAACAGACTCTCCAAACCGGCCTCACCACCTGCAGCATCGGGAGCTGCCTCGTTCAGTGAAAGCAGTTCCACTTCGAAAATGAGAGTTGCTCCTGCTGGAATTTTGCCAGCACCTTGGTCACCATATCCAAGGGCGGGTGGGATTGTCAGCTTGCGCTTTTCTCCAACGCACATATCCAGCAGACCACGGTCCCAGCCTTGGATGACTTGTCCTGCTCCAATAGTGAACGTAAAGGGGGAGCCGGGGCGAGATTCATCGAATACTTCACCATTTGATGCCAATGTTCCTTTGTAATTCATGCCCAGGGAGTCACCGGATTTGCTCACTTCTCCGCAATCCTCGGGCTTGAAAAGCGTATCGATTACCAAGCCATCATCGGCACGAACTACCACTGCCAGACAAAGGCAGGCTACCACAAACTTCCACATGATGGCAAGAATAGTCGTCCTTCTACTCAAAAGATACCAACCAAACTTCAAAGTGACCACGACTCGTAAACTCCAGAGTTTTCTTGTCGGTGCTTGTTTTTTTTTCAAAGCTGACGTGGCGGATCCGTGGATCGGCGCACTCATGCGTTGCCATCCGAAAACACATCACGTCAGTGACGTCACTCGACAAGGCTTCGACGCTTCGTATTTTTACGACTCGTTGCATGATCAAGACTAGAATCCGGCAGTTTAGTACTTCCTGATCAAGACACAACTACCTTTACTTGGACTTGGAGTCCAAGGCTAGGGAGTCGTACAGTGTAAAAGCCTTTTACGACTCCCCGGTTCAAACTATGTGATCGTTCGTTTTCAGTTTGTGTGAAGTGCCTGAGCAAATGCGGTGATTGGCTCGAACCTCGGATTTGAGCATGAAGTGAAGAGAAGTAAAAAGTATAAAAAGATATCGCATTCTTACCGCGCCGTTTCTTGATCTTGTCATTTGGTCAACATAATTATTGTACACTAACAGTTGCTACTGTAGACTGTAGTTGCTGGTGTTCAACTATCTTCGGCGGTTGTGAGTTCGCTCGTACGTCTTCTTTGGAAATGGCTCCAGCTAGAATTAGAGGGCCTGCTGGCGGAAAGAAGAAAGGGGCTTCTCGCTCCAAGTCGTCGCGTGCTGGCCTGCAATTTCCAGTCGGACGCATAAATCGCTATCTTCGCCAGTTCATACTGAAAAAGAGGATATCTGCTGTGGCACCGGTTTACCTGTCCGCCGTCTTGGAGTACCTTGTAGCTGAAGTGGTGGAATTGGCTGGAAACGCTGCACGCCAGAACAAGAAATCCCGTATCATCCCTCGCCATATTCTCCTGGCCGTGGCGAACGACGAAGAATTGCATCGCGTTCTGAAGGGAGTGACCATCCCCAATGGTGGGGTCCTGCCGCAAATTCGACCTGAACTTCTGTCCAAAGTTAAGGGACATAAGAAATGGATGGATCCGTCCAGCCAGCCTGCACCAGTAGTCAAAGCACCCAAACCCAAACCGAAGCCGAAAGCAGCAGCTGCAGCTCCCAAGGGCAGGGCAGCAAAGGCTGCTGCTCAGGTGCAGGCCAAGGGACGAGGTAAGAGCATGGCGAAGGCCGCGGCTTCCAAGGCTCCTGCTGCATCTGGCCGTCGCAAGAGTGCCGCGGCTGCGTCATCAACTGCACGCAATACATCCTCAATTGTGGTCCTGTCCGAGAAGACTCTCTTCTTAGGTCAGAAACTGACTGTCATCGAGGGAGATCTGAGCAGCCTCAGCTGTGATGCCGTGGTGCACCCCACTAACGCCAGCATGTACCTTGGCGGCGAAGTGGGAACAGCACTGCTCAAAGCTGGCGGGGCAGATTTCCAGCAGGAGGTGACTGCGTTGCTGGCGAACCATGGCTCGCTGTCGGTCGGCGATGCAGCTATCTGCAGTGGTCACTCCTTGCCTGCTTCCCACGTCATTCACGTGCACAGTCCACAATGGGGCACAGCAACAAGCGAAGATGACTTGGAGAAGTGCGTGAAGAACTGCTTGTCACTGGCCGACACCAGTCAGGTGAAGTCGTTGGCCCTTCCCAGCGTCGGCAGTGGCTCGAACCGATTTCCAAAGGAGACGGCGGCGCGCCTTATCATCAAGGCTATCAAGTCCTACTTTGTCTCGGTCATGGCGTCCAACATCAAACAGGTCTACTTTGTCTTGTATGACCAGGAGACCATCGACATCTACAATGCTGAGCTGAACCGCATTGATGACTAAACCTACACCAGCGTAGCGGGAGTATGGCCACTGGGTGTATTCGTATCCGTGTCCACCCCAAAACACCAAACCGGAGGGAACACCGTTCAAGTACCGAATCGAGAGGACCAGACGTGACTTAGGATTTGTGTGTGCGCTCTCTGTGCCATATGTGTGTTGGATGAATTGTGTGTGGGAAGACAGTTCCTATATCAGCGTTTGACTGTTGCCCTCATGTACTCACTGGTTTTGTGCATTCTCTTTTGCTATTTTTGTGATAGCGTTTTAGTTTTAATACTGGCTAGTTTTTATCCATTCTTTGATTCTTTTGTTATCGTCGATTCTCATGCGGTAGAGCGTGTTCGTTTTCCATGGGGCTCTCTTGTCTTAGTCGAACGTCATTTGAAGTGTTGTATGTCGTCTATCCGTGTAACTTCATGCCCATGTATGGAGTTCTAGAAAGGCAACGTTAAATTCAGTGCACATTATTTTGGTTCCAGTATTTCTTACTGATGCTACACGCACAATGCATTTTGGATTTAGGGTCCCCACCTATGTGCTGACCTATGTGCTGTACTAGCCTGTAGTGCCATTGTCCTTACTATGATTGTATAGTTTTCTTCCCACGGTTCAGGAGATGTAAGAGAGATCTTAGTGCGATGTGATCATCTTGTGCGTGTGTGTGTATGTGTGTTGTGAAGGTGGGAAACACGCTTGATATCACTGCTTCTTCCTCAATGATGGCTGCGACGATGACTTTTCCACATGTGACTGGAACGTTTGCAGCTTTAAATTTAAATTTTTTTCCAAACCCATGAGACGATGGTATCCACCAGGGAGTCGTAAAATACCGGTATTTTACGACTCCCTGGTATCACCCCACCAGCATTGTACAATGGAAAGGCCGTGTTCTCAAAACCGACCCTTCCATTGATGTAGCAGTTGACCAGGAGATCTTTCACGGTGCGTGTATCCACATGGCATGTGTTTTAAAGCCCTGCTTTCAGTACTACGACAGAGTGCTGACCTGGCATGGGATTGCAGCTGTGTAACCAGTTATACATCGCCAGGAAAGCACGGCACATACCAATCCACCAAAAGGACCGACAACCCCAACAAAACCCAAGATGATCTCTCTTTTGATTTGAAAAAGCCTGGATAAAATCCAGACTCCAACTTCGTTTCTAGCCGCAACAAGCACTTTAGGAGCAGCCTGGGAGATTGCAAAAGAAGCCTAGACTAAAATCTACCCGTTTTAAATGTACATAGAGTTTGAGGTCACATAAACTGCAGACTGTACTGAATGAGAATCAGGGAAACTGAGGCAGTGTAGTATGATGAGTGCTACATGAGCTGTGCTAGTGAGGTATAGTATACTCGACTACCCTGATCGAAGGTCTTGGGAAAACTCCGGATGTACATGTGTGGGGAGGGAGGGGGGGGGGGGGGAGGGAGGGAAAGAGGAGTGTGTGTGTGTGTGTGTGTGTGTGTGTGTGTGTGTGAGAGAGAGAGAGAGAGAGAGACGCGGAGAGAGAGGGTAAATAGCAACCACAATACTCATCATGTACCTTCATCAAGGAATGCCACAGCCTCATGGCTGTATATTATTCACGTACATCAAGTTGTACAGTGACTACATTGTTGTGTCAAGTATGCAGTGTTGTCACTTGTATTCGTATGAGAACTTATGAAGATACACAGTGTCATTGTTCAGCACTCCATGCGAATGATGACTAGAAACAGGATCCGGCCAACAACATAACTCACTTGGCATGCACACCAGGCACACTCGGCAAGCATACAATCAGTGCATGACACATACATCTGTCTCATCCCCTTTAGCCTCACATTTCACTGAGTCCACTGCTGGGTGATACAAATACAAAGTAACTCGTTGGGTACACGGTGTGCATCGTATTATTGTTGTTGTTGTCGTTTCTTTATTTTACTTTACCATATGAACAGGCAAGACTGCCTTCTCACCGGGGCTATTGGCCCATGGCTCTCACAATAATTATGATGAAAAGAGCCGTGGGCCAATAGCCCCGGTGAGAAGGCAGTCTTGCCTGTTCATATGGTGAAGTAAAATAAAGGAACAACAACAACAACAATAATACGATGCACACCGTGTACCCAACGAGTTACTTTGTATTTGTATCACCCAGCAGTGGACAAATACAAAGTAACTCGTTGGGTACACGGTGTGCATCGTATTATTGTTGTTGTTATTAGCACTGCATTGCAGTACATTGCGACAACGCAAGAAGCCAGGTCGTCAAATGACAAGGGCCATATATAATTTCAGTCAAGAAAGTTCACATCCAGACCTCAGGCTCATGATGCCCATTTCAATGCAGACTTCTAGCCCTGGCCATACAACATCGGCAAAGTGCAGATGGCAAGAGCTTCCTTCCGCCCTGCAGCCGGGGAGTAATGTTTTACTTGTACTGGTTGCTGCCAACGCTGCGTGTGTGGAATGAATGGAGTATAGCAAGTTAGAAATAACATTAGTACAACACTCCACCTCCACAGGATAGTGGTGAGTGGGGAACAGTCACGTGAGAATACCGTCCTCGTCCGGTTTTGTACACCATCTCTATTGCATGTATGTCGATATTTCTCTACAAGTAAATTTCCCGGCAGGGAGTCAAGTTTTAAATTGCATAGATGACACATCACATGCGGTCACAATGTCCATTGTACGGATATTAGGCTGTGAGTTGTTGAGGGATGTGGTCACCTGCAGGTTCAGCCGGGGGTTTGAACAGTGAGCATCATAAGCTGGTCACCCTGCAGTTATACATGCATAGGGGCATTCCCTGCAGTTGTACACGTAGTGGGGTATTCCCCAACATTGCAGGGCTAGGTACAGTCAGGACATCCACACAAGCTAGGTCACATCAAAGTCACGGAGTTCATTGCAACAATGAATGGCACAGTGAATGGCACAGTGAATGGCAGAGTGAATACAGAAGCCCACAATACATCACATAGTCAGTAGCGGCCTCGGATTCAAACAATCTCAAGTCACAGGATTGAGGCGTTCAGGAGCACTCACAGCACAGTTTGCCCTAACGTCCTGCTTGCATTATTCATGACCCAGTCGATAGTGGGCACCTCAGGATTAGTTCATTGCTGATACCTCCTAGGCGAATTTCGGCAAGAAGCATCCACGCACTCACGCTGCAAAAATCACCCATTGCCGGATTACATGGAGGTGTACGCTCACGATACTTCGCTACACACCGCTCATCACTCAGATCTCATGATACTCCGCTACACACCGCTCATCACTCAGATCCTACCCATGATACTCCGCTACACACCGCTCATCACTCAGATCCTACCCATGATACTCCGCTACACACCGCTCATCACTCAGATCCTACCTATGATACTCCGCTACACACCGCTCATCACTCAGATCCTACCCGTCGAGATACGACACAGCCCATCTAACACTGTCCATTGTGCATGATGCTGATGAAATCAAGCAAGCACATGGGGGGAATTCTTGTTCCCACTGAGTAGCCCCGTGAATGCTTAGGCATTGCCCATGCACTGGCCCGCAGCAGCACACGGTCGATGCAATCCAATCAGCTAACTAAGTTACTTGCGCATTGCATGCTTAGAGCCACGATGATGTCACACAATCATGGATGCCAGTGGTGATTCCCCTAGCTGTCATGTTTGTCAACTCCTGCACAGACTGTGGTCCTGCATGGCAAAGTGCATTTTGGCAGTTGCTTTGTTGCGGGGTTGGGGAGTTGGGGACTGCTACTCGTTGCGGACCTGCACAAAAACACACAAGTCAAGCCAAGCACAATTTTGCGCATCCCCAGTAATGTAAACAAACAAATACTTGTCCTTTGTGTCCTGCGTCCAGGGGAACGGAATGGCTGTGATTCCGCAACAAGCTCAAGTCAGCAGATCACAGCACGTAGGATATCCTAGCAAGGCACATGCTGCTGTAAACTTGAATACGTACTCACATTGCCAATAATGCAATATAATCGCAAGCATAAAACCCAATCCTGTACCTGAATTCTGGTACATCTGACCAGCATTATTTTTTTTCTCAGTAAACTGTAGTGCAGTGCTTGGTAGTCTACCGGGTCTATAGCTACGTTCACTGAGACAATCATGATGACTTTCACAGGCAGTGTCAATCCCGATTTTATCA